GACAGGGGAGGAGGGCAAGATTAAAACGGCACGAAGACCTCTTTTTATTTTAGCATTTAGCCAATTTTCCGCAGTCGCGCGATGTCATATACATTTAATAACATTTGACATCATTTTGAATGAGTTTTGTTGATTCACTTTTTTCCGTTTATTCGATACACAAGTAACTTCGTCACATCCACTAGAACGTTTAAAACCACTAACCTTATACAGAATCCTTTCGAACCGGCTTATAAATAGATTGGGAATCCCGCTTCTTACGAGGATATCCACAACCATTGGACGATTTGATCCAATTTGCGATTAATTTCAATGATCTGAAATTAAAACAGCAATTTCAAACGTAGTAGCGAAAAGAGGAATAAAATGAAACAGTTAATTCAGTTGCAAAACCAATTAGATTACTAAGCCAGGTTTTTAATGGTCAGCACTCGGAATAAATTTTTAAATTTTCGCTGAAAAGCATAACACAAAAATAAAATTTCTTCAATTCGCAGAATAGATAAATAGGATTAAAAAATATTGGAACAGTAAAACTCAACGCACAGACATCTCGGGCGGACGAACTGTTCTCTCTCCTTGATTACTCGGTTTAGCAAATTTCTTTGAGGGGGAGCCGTTTGAGTAATTGAGGTAATTCGCAGCAGTTAACTGAAATTAAATTTTATTTATATTCAAAAATCAAAAACAAACACTACTACGAGTGAATCGATTTTCTCCCGACATTCAAAACGTCGGAATCGTGTCTCATTGAGCAAAACTGGTGTTTTCTAGCTTTCTGAAATATCCTATTTAAAAAAATCAAAAAGATTTCATCAAACCGATTCGCGATATGAGCAATATCCGAGGTTCCAGGGTATTCAGAAAATTTCGCGCCAAAGCGCCCCAACTCAAATGAGCTGTTGTGAGACAACAACCGACAGACTACCCCTAACTAAATAAAGCATATTTTGCTGGCGGGTTAGAGCCTCCGAGCCCCTGGACGTTGGCTCCCCCGCCTGGATAGTTGTCAGCTTCCAATCACGTAGCAGCTATTTTGCGAAATTTCTTCGCCCTTGAAACCGTTGAAATTCAAAATGCCAGTGCAGCGGACGAAACTTCATACTCTGCCTGCAATACAAGAAGCTTTCATTACAGACGATATAAAAAAGCGAAATTAGTCAAAAAGTTACAAAAAAATTAAAGAAGAATTCAGAAAATCGTGTCGTACAAAAGGCTTTTCGTGGATCGTGGAATGGATTTTTCGGTGAAACGTCGACGAAACAATATTTGAGGGAGTTTCTCACTTTGAGAGGTGGAACCATTTATCTTCACACTGTTTTACCAAAATTTGGCATTGTCCGCGATTTCTACGACACGATTTGCTGAGAACTGAAAATGAATGAAAAGAACGTGGCAGTTTATTGAAAACGTGGAATATTTGTGATTACTGTAGAACAATATCTGCATACAACGAAATTGACGAAAAATGGAACAATTTTTAATTTTTGATTATATTTAGCTCATTTTCTTGGTTGAATTCAATTCGTTTTCAACAAATTCTATTTAAATTACTTGCAATTTTCCGTCTCATTTGTCTGCATTCCATTCCATTATTTTTTCCAGATCTGCTTGGTGAAATGTTGAGCAGGAACAAATAAAACGTCAATAACCATAATTTCGAAATGGAAAATGATGGAAAATTGGTAATATGGACCACGTTTTATTTTAAATTTTAATTGTTTCATTTTTTTTAATATCTTCTATAGGATATTTAAAATCCATATAATTACTTTTACATAGACATTCATGTCGATCATCGCCTGATTGAATTCTCTTCCAAAATATTTTGAAATTCCATTTTGTTTTTTTCTTCTTCTCGAAACACAATTGCTTTTTTTTTTTGAAGTGTTCGCACTAAACAATAAAATTTTGTAAGGAAATTTATTAATCGCTTACATTTCATTCGACAACTGCGTTACATATGATCCTTCAAAGATCCAATCAATGATCCACAAGATATACATTTAGAAAGTGAAGTTTATATTGAAAACCCACTGCCCTCCGATTGTGGGACATTACTTTCCTCAATCATCATCGGGCCAAAAACATCAAAAGAAAAATAGAATTTAATTTAAAATTTCAAAACTTATCGATGTTTTTAGAATTCCTCGAAATAAACGATTTTTCGAATTCAATAGAATAATCGAATTCATACTCTTTTGCTATTAGCTTTTGCTTGTGTGTATTTTTTTAGTAGGATTAACACTGCCCTACGATTGTGGGACATTAATTTCCACAATCATCATCGGGATGAAAATGTCACAAAACCAAAAAGAATTAAAATCAACGAAAAAAATACATAAGGGGGAATCAAGTTTTTGAATTTATTAAAATCTAAATTATTAATATTTACAAAATTTTAGACGTCGAATGTTGGAAGTTATTGAGTTCAACCTTTTACCGGGACAATTAACTAATCTGAAGGGTGACCCGTAGAAAATCGTCATTAAAATATCAGCCGAATGTAGCCGTTTGTACAGAAAATCGAAATTCCTTGATTGTAAATATTTGGATTTTCTCAGATTTAAATTCGTCTTTAGAGTTAATAAGACCCAATTTTAAAATAGTTTCGTAACCTGTTTATGAGACACCATTTTCTCTCAGTTTTCTTAAGATTATATTTCCCCTTTAAATTGGAATTTGAATTAGTGCCTCAAAAAATTGCGAAGGTCCACAATTATGCAAAGCGCTCGTTTTTTTACGATGGAATATACTATTTAAGAGTGATGAATATATCGAAATCCCACCGCCCTCCGATTGTGGGGCATTACTTTCCTCCTTCGTCATTGGGCCAAAAAAAGCAAAAAAAGTTTTTGGAAAAAAATTCGAAATTATAAATGAATCTAATATTTTCGGTATTTACTCAAATATAACTACGTTTCGAATTGAAAAATCGAATTCATACCCATACTTTGTTAGTCACTGCCCTCAAATTGTGGGACATTACTTTCCACAGTTATCATTGGGCCAAAAGAAAGTTTTTTTACGTAAATGTAAATTTTACATTAAAAATTTGGTTTTAACTATTAGATCTAAATAAAAAAAAAATTACGGAAATTTTTTAGTTAGACATCGACCCCATCGTTTTGGCCAATTTCGCATTGACCAATTCTCATACCTCTGAGAGAATCAAAAAAGGCAATTTGTTAAGTGTATGCCTAATGTTCGGCCTCTGTTTCTGGGACGTCACGCTTTGTAATCATGATCCAAACCAATGCGCGTGCTTAGCCGGTAGCTTTCGGTTTGGAGCATTAAAGTAAAACGCGTTCAAAGAAATTATTGTTAAATCGTCCACTCCGAAGATTGAAAAATCTAGTGAGGTGCTCAATTCGCGCTATTGAAAACCCACTGCCCTCCGATTGTGGGACATTACTTTCCACAGTCATCATCGGGCCAAAAAAGTTCGAACAACGTTTTCATAGGAACTTCGATCGAAGTTTGAAGAAAACATTTGCTCACATATTCCTATTCGCGTGGCCTAACATATTGTCATGTCATTTCTTGAAAACATAATTCGCACATCGAATCGAACAATTGCTTGTTTTTTTTTGAAGTATTAGCACTAAAAGAATGAGATATTGACGAGAATGTCGAAATAATTGCTTACATTTTTTTTCGATTCCTTTCTTGAGATCCTTTAAAAATCGAATTAATGCTATGCTCAGAAGAAGAGTAATAAAATACACAACAATAAATACAATTACAATAAAAAGTATTCAATTGAAACGACATTGGATCTTTTTTCATTATTTTTTTAAACAATTAAGATTGTCCGTCGTTTTATAAAAAATATGTCAATAATTTTTTTTTCAACATCATTTTTTTTAGTTTTTTTTTTCATTGTTGAATTAAATTAGAATAAAGGGATAGTAAAGGGTAAATGGATAAAAATAATTATTATAAATAGGCACCTTCGATAATATTCACGATGAATCCAATTTCAATATCCTTATGAATTGTTCGTCGTCTTTATCACATTATTGATTTCCAATATTTGCAGATTCGTTCAAATTTTTGTGTATCATGATTCGATTTCATCAGCTAGCTCAAATTCATTTTTGAGCTTTTGCTATTTTTCGAGACTTTCTTCTCTCTTGTAAGACGTTAAAAATACTGAAAAATGGAAATTTCTGTTTTCAAATGGTAACGATTCTTACATTTCTACATATTTTCATTTGAATTGAGACTGTTTGACAGTTTTTCTTCGCTTCCATCAATCTCATCGGCCTCACTTCCAGGTTCTTCTTAATTCCGCAATAATCGAACAGTACAATAAGCAATACAATAAAAAGACATTTAAACGACATTTGGATCTTTTCGTTTTTTTAATTCAAAATGTCCAGTCGTGTTCAGTGGCTAACTTCGATTTAACTATGAAAACCAAGAGAAATACAATTTTTAAAAGTAATATATAATGGATCTTTTAATCTTTTACAATCAATGTTGTCCATAAATTTCATAAAAGAGAGAATTTCGAAAGAAATAAGTACAAAAACACAAAATGCCAAAATAATAGTCATATTTAAAACGGAAAGGTTTGGAAACATACAATTGGGAAAATAAATTGCAAAAACTAGATAAAATAAGTAAGGGGAAATGAATAAATAGTTAATAAAAATAAATTAGACGTATTAATAATAAAATAATAGATAATAGATGACAATTAAAATACAATAAAACAATAGGAATATTTTTTTGTTTTTTTTTTTATTTTTTTTTTTGTTTTTTTTTTTTTTTTTTTTTTTTTTTTTTTTTTTTTTTTTTTTTTTTTTTTTTTTTTTTTTTTTTTTTTTTTTTTTTTTTTTTTTTTTTTAATTAAAGGTGTGATCGCAGAACGATGTTTCTGCGAGACATCCGCCTAATCTGGTTTCGAGCCCTTATTGCCGCTACCCTCTTTGGTCTTATCGAAGGTCGCGGCTGTTCCTCATCACGTGGTGGGTTCATTCTCGCTTCCTCCGCTAGATGTTCTGAAAAACACCGACATCCGACGACAAAAAGCAAGGAAGGAAACTTACGAATTTGCGTCGCAAGCCGTCCCACGATTTCTCGTAGAACTTCTCTCTCCCGCACCACGTCCAGTCGATCCGCCCTCACCAGATTGATTGTTGTTGACTCCAGGCTTCGTCTCGCGTTCGCGATCACATAGAGACCGCAGCTGTACCCGTCGGTCTGGGTCTCTTGGTGTCGTTGAGCAACCCATCGGACCGTTGATATTGTCTCCGGGTACAGAGCTGCGAGCGCTCGCTTCAGTCCGTTGGAGATGTTGAGTTTGGACTTCGGCGAGCGGTGTGCGACAAGTGAATCATATATGTAACACTTGCCGCTTGCCGTCTTGTAGACTGCGAGGCTCCAATGCTGTTGTTGGTGCACTGGCATAAATAAGACCTCGCAGTCTTTTCTATCAGCAGCGGTGCATCTCCTGAGCATTGCTGCCACTTGCTCAGGATGCTTCGACTGCTCCTCGATCACGACATTCATTGCCGACGGCAAGACGACGCCCACCTTCTTGTCTGATGACTTTGCCAGATTTAGGAGTCCGGCAGTCACAGCTGCAGATGTTAAGAAGGTTTCGCGCCCTGAGGGGAGGTCTTCTTCAACCATCAGACCGTCCAGCATGCCTCGCACCTCAGAATGAAAGTCTTCCGCTTCCAACTGCACGACCTCATCCGCCACCATCTCATCTTCCTCCGCATCATCCTCCATCTCGGCGCCAACCACTGCCACTGGTGCATCCTCCACTGCCACTGGAATCCGCGACCACTGATTGTTCGCCTCGATGATCTTGCTCCGTCGTTCCTGCCTTGCCTTCCACTTCGCCATCATTCGGGCCACGTCGTGATTTTTGCAATTCTGAGGTGTGCACGGGCAGATGGAACAGCACAACACCTCGTCCTTGACACACGGACACTCACTTCGGCAACCCGAACTCTGGCAGTACGCCCAGCAAAACATCTCCGGCGTCACCCTCTCTGCTTCAACCATCAACCGATCCAGTGGCCCGAAGCGCGACCACATCTCCGCCTGCGTCACGACTCTCGGCTTCTTCGGTCGTGTCGGCTCGTCCTGGATCTTACTACGGACGACACCGACCAGCGGCCCTGTTGTTCTTGTCCGCTTTCTGCCCAACATCGGTCCTAAAACGGAACGATTTTCGCAGAAAACGGAGTGAATTTGAGCGAGAAAAATGGCCATAAAGGTGTTTTCGCAGAATTGAAGACACCAACGATCGAGATGTAGAACGACGAGAACGAGGAACGAAGACGAGAAGAAAATGCCATCCATTCTGCACAATGCACCTTTAAAGCCGTTCAGATGCCGCGCAAATATTGTCGTGAACGAAATCACTGCCGCGACGCTCGAAAAGAGCGATATTCTTTTTCATTTTCATCCGCACAAAAAACCCCATTCTCATAATTTCATTTCTTTTCAATTTTAAAGCTTAAACCAACTTTTTGGTAACACTATCTCCCGTTATTTTTCCCTTTAATATATATATATATTTGGTTTTTAAATCAATGTTTTTGATACCCCAGCCCTCCTTTGTAATTAAGAGAGAATAATGTTTTTAGTTTGCTTAAATTTATCTCTTAGAAAAGATGAGTTATTTCTATACTGTCTATTCAAAATCTTTTAAGGGTTTAAAAAATATTGAAATGCTCGTTAGATATCACCCTTCCCTCACATATTGGAATTTTCATTGAACTCTTATCTGTTTTTAGTCCCCAATCCTTTAGAAAATTAATTATTTTTGGCTGTACGCATGAAATTCATTTAAACATAGATAATGAATATAGAAAATAAATTTGGAAAATCAGATTTCTTTTTTTTTAGAATATTAAGGAGAAAAACTTCTATGAATATCAAAGTTAATTTAATTTCTTTTAAATCGTTGAACCCCTAGTTAAATCAACGTAGAAGCGAAGAGAAGTAGTATAAAAGAATGCAGTAAATTAAGAAATCGAAACTAAAATGCCTTATAGAGGAAAATTTCGAGAATTTTAGCAAATGAAAAGATAAATGTTTTCCATTTTTTTGGAATTGAAATAAGCGTCTGATTTGGGTGTATTAAAAATTATACAATTTTGATTCAAAACTTGAAAGCAGTGCGAACAAAACATATATTTCGATGATTTTCTCAAAAACTTTTCTTCTATACATCTTCTCTTCGTTTAAAATAATTAAACAAATGGTCCGCGCACCTTCGATCACCTCGAGGTGGACCTCTTTGACGGTCGCTCCGAAAACAACCCGTCGCGGAGGCACCACCTCAGCCTTCTTCTCCTCATCCATCACAACATCTTCAATTCTCTTGTCCATTGACATTGTTCGATCGCTATGCGTTTTATTTTGCACAATAAATAAGAAATTAAAAATGTGTGATCACGTGATGATAACTGGAACAAATATGCCATTTACTTTTCATTTTATTTTTAAAATTTTCCAGCTCATCTTTCTTAAAATGACACGAATTTCAATGAACTCGTTGTTTGGATGTTTTGGTTCATTTTAAGCCAGATTTCTGATGAATTCGTGTCGATTGCGCTAGTTCTCCATAAGAGAAATCGAAATTTTTGGAGAAATTGCACAGGCATTCATATTTTCATTTTCAGATCAGAGGTCATTGATAAATGTCATTTTTGTTGTAATTGGATTCGTCGTAATGTAAGTTTTTGAATGTATGTATATTGCTTTCAGAATCTTGAAGCCGAGACTTAATCTTCCGTCTATTTTCATCCTTGATTGTGAACTGCGGGGCTAAAAAACCTTTCGAGTTCTGCGTATATCAACTGTTTATTTGGGCAACATTGACACAATTTTCTCAAGAAACTCGCTGTTAATCGCAATTCTTGATACAAGGTATGTTTGAATATTTGATGTTTAAAATGTCCACCCACACAACTTTAAAATTTCAACATCGAATTAGAAGAAAAAACATTATATTAGTTTTTTAACGAAAATAGACATCAGCGCTATCTTATTCTCCACAAATATAATGGCTTTGGTCCGCTCTTGTTTATACCAAATTCATAAATATCAAATTCGGACCCCTTTGAACCCCTATAACGCTTTTTTACACTCTAGTAACATTTTCTGAAATACCAGATAATTGGAATCATTTTCTCAAATTTTCAAACTCGAAAAATTTTTTTTTTTTCAAATTTTCAAAAAACAAAATTTTGGGTGCGGAATAGAAAATTGGGTGCATAAGAATATGGGTCATTTGACCATTTGTCACTTTCAGTTTTGAATCTAAGATCCCATTTCGCGAAAAAGGGTATTTCGTATATACAGTGCGTTGCAGAATTATAAGGCCACCCCCAAATTTGAGCGCCGCGCAATGATTTCGATACTTTGAGACCAACAAGTGTTAAAATCGTGTTTAGCATGAAAAATTACCTATATGTACCAATTTTTATGTTAGTATCTTAAAAACTAACCGCGCAGTGGTCTAAAACCGTTTTTTCAAGCGGTGCAGAATTATAAAGCCACCCCCATGAAACGAACTTTTTCGCATTTTTTTTTTGAAACTTTGGCGGGACCAGTGTGCATAAAAATTGTTGTGTGGCTTTGAGAACCTACAGTGGTCCTTATTTTTCACTTTTTGAATCATTTTGAAATGCCACGTGGTCGCTGTCTTAGTGCTTCTGAGCAATCTCAGATTCTCGCATTCAAAACGGCAGGATGGTCGAACCGTTGGGTTGCATAGAATTTAAATGAAGGTATGTAAGTAAGTAAGTAAGTAAGTGAACACGATTTTAACACTGGTTGGTCTCAAAGTATCGAAATCATTGCGCGGCGCTCAAATTTGGGGGTGGCCTTATAATTCTGCAACGCACTGTAGAGGTTAGCCCCTATTGGTCCCATTTGGCATTGACCAAATTTTCTCATATCGACTTATTCATGAAAAAAAAAATGTAAAAGGTTACATACATTTTTGCATTCGTGAATTGAAAAAAAATTTGCATTTTTTATTTCATTAACAAGACCAATATTGAAATAAAAATCTTGGTAACTGCGATAAATTTGTGTATTTGCCATTACAAAAAAAAGAAACAGACAGAGAGGTCTTCAGTTGGATGATTCAGTGATACGAATGTGCACATCAATGACAAGTAAGTCTCAGTTTATACGTAAAATTTCTACAATTTTTAACGACATCCACGGAGGTAAACGGGCGGGCTCATTTCGTATGGAATTGTGCGAAAAAAGTTGTGATTTTCAGGGCGAATCCGTTGATATCTACACTCCTTGCGTCATTTATCCGAACCAAGTATTGTATTCGTCAAAACCGACCATTATCGCGTCATCTTGTCCTTTGCTAAAATGCACAAATCTTAGTCCAACGGGCAATTATGCACTTAATGGTGCCAAAGATGTTCCCTACTACGCTAATAATATGTATTTTGCCGATCTGGCGCACCTTTTCGCCAATGGATGGTGTTTTCATTGTTTTCAAGCAATTTTAAGGCCTTTTTCGGTGATTTCTAAACTTCGATCATCAAGAATGTGTCATTTTAAACAATTTTGAAATATGACCAAATGCTCGAAAGTTCGTTACTCTAAAATATGGTCGAAATATTGCGCTAACAGTTTTGAATAAAAATAAGGTCAATAAATGGTGAGGCTAGATAAATCCAGAGGAGTTGTACATATTTAATCCATTTTAAGGCACAAACACGCAAGAGACGCCTGATAAAAACAAACTGTTGCGAGGAGCAAGAAAAATGATGAAAGATCTCAGCAATTTAAATCTGATGAATGATCTCAGCAATTAAAAATATTAGCCCCTAACTCGACAAGCTTGATTGGTTTTCGTTGTTTATATATATATTTTTTTCTACCGTGCTGCTTTATTATTACTTTTATCATATACTTCCCATTCCTCTGGCAAAACTGTTATTGTTATTATCATCCGGTAACTAATTAAATTGCGCTTCGATCCTTATTGTTTTGTCTAACGCTTACTTTAGATAAAGTTTAAATTGTAATTCGAGTTTTCCACTTACAACAAAAACAAATATTGGTTATGGCAAAAACGCTGAGTCAAACGAATACAACATAATCACGCTTGTAGCTGTAGCCTCCTAGCTTTACATAACCGGAATCTTTCCTAACATCTACATTAGGGGCAGTTGAAGCGATGAATGACTTATGAAATTCCTTGAAAAGATGAGCACGATCAAGCTGTGAGAAAGTAGTAACGAATTCTTCAATATTACAAATGACTTCTGAGTATTCCGACGTTCTGAAGTTGCCCGAATCGTAAACGTCTTGGTGGAGCCTAAATGTAATTAATCTATTAATATAAAGCGAAATAAAAATACCAGAAATCAACCAAAATTAAACAGAAAGTTAAAATTATAAGTCGATTATTCTTTAGGCATAAAAACTCAAACAACTTACTTCTCTGCTTTTCCCCAGCAAGAGTAGCGAAGAAATCTGCGTCGTTCGAATGACAGACTGGAACAGTCGATCGCGAAGTCGCAGAAGAAGCTAAGCCCGTTGTGCGATTTGATGTCGATGTTCCCGGCGGTCAAGTAGAGCTCCTTCACTGCGTAGACCGCTGCAAACCAGGCTTTCTCGGCCGATTGCATGATATCCGGTGGCGCTAGCGACAGATAGTGACGGGCCTTTGCAAGGAAAGTCGTTGCCGTGTACTTCTCCATGGCTTCCTGAAAACAAAATCATTCAAAAGTGTTTATTAACTCGTAGTTCTATTTTTAGAAAACTTATTAGCACGCATTAGGAAAAATTAAAAGAAATCATACCGTGGAATTCCAGCCTTCTAAATCGTCCACAAGCACATTTTCTTTGAATCGACTTCGCACATCATCAAAATCGGCTTCATTCACACAAATAAGCTCGCGTCCATCGACCAAAAACTTCTTCGGCATGATCCTGAAATAGTTTGGTTATTAAAGATGAACGAAAAATACAAATGAAATATTCAGTTTGAAGCGACTAGAAAGTAAAACATTTTGAGAGGAAATTCAATCAAAGATAAATGAAACAGTAAAAATAGTTAGGGTTAATGTTCCCTCTAATGGAAGAATGCGATGTTGGCAGTTTCTCGCCTTCCTCTGCGCACGACGTTCACATCAGGGCTGTGCGGCAATCGGAAATTTCGGCAATTCGGCAAATTGCCGAAAATCAAAATTTCGGCAATTAATTTTTTTCAACGATAATTCGAAATATAAATACCGAATTTTCACGGTATCCCAAATTATTCAATGGACATTGATTTTTGTTTCGCCGATTTTTTTTTATATCAAATTGCCGAAAATCGAAATTTCAGCAGTTCAGCGATTTGCCGATCGAACGTTCTCTTCGGCAATTCGGCAATTTGAAAAATCGGCAATTTCGGCAATCGGCAATTCCTTTGCCGCACAGCCCTGGTTCACATTAGTGGGATTTACCGGAAATGGAAACTCAAACTGTGTCAGTGGTCGATTGTTGGCGTCTTTGTAGCGCAGACGAATTTTTAAAAAATCGCCAGGTTTTGACTCTTTTTTCAAGTATTTTGAATTTATCTCAAAATTAAACAAAAAACTGCAGCGACCACGTTTTTTGCAAGGTTTTTTTTCTATCGAAAAAGCTTTATTATAATTAAATTGGATAAGAATTCAGAGGTCCGCAGTTTTTTAAAAATGGAACTGTAGAAATATTTAAATTTCTTTTCTCTGTTTTTTCACTCTCTCTTTTGTTAATATCATTTATTGTTATATTATATGGTTTGATTTGCACGGTTAGGTTTGTTAACACCTGGAAAAAAATTTCATAGTTGTTTATATTTTATTTTTTTTGCAAATTTTAAATGTAAACAGTGTGTCAATTCGGCGGAGAAGTTGCAATAGATTCTCTATAATTTTTCTCTATACGCAAACTTCTCTATAATTTTTTTGTCGTTGTTTTTTTTTTTAATTTTATTAGTTCTTACGTTAATTTAGCGTTTTCAGCTTCTTTTTTCGCTATTTATCTCTCTCGCGTCTTTATCTACTCGCATTGAATTCAGATAAGCACTCCATCTCGAAAATCAAAAACTGGCGGAGTGATGAAACGATATCACGGACAATTCGCTTTTCGAGATTTTTTTAACTTCCGAATTAATTCAAAAGACCAATGGAGGGACGTCATCAGCCCAAAAATGTCTTTTTTAGTCATTTGTGTTGTATAGCAGCAAATTGTTCTTTTCAAGCTGTAAAAAGCATCTTGTTAAATGTATTTATTGATAACCCATTTGTTTCCAAATTGATAATGTAAAAATTTTGCATTTTTTATTTCATTAACAAGACCAATATTGAAATAAAAATCGAGTAGGAAAATAAATGGCGTGAGCTAGTTGGTAACGGCGATAAATTTGTTTATTTGCCATTACAAAGAAAAGAAACAGACAGAGAGGTCTTAAATTGGATGATTCAGTGATACGAATGTGCACATCAATGACAAGTAAGTCTCGGTTTATACGTAAAAATTCTACAATTTTTACATTTAAAGCCCCAATTGCGTTACTTCTTCTACACTTCATATTCCCCGCCACGACGCTGGCACCTCCAACTCCGCAAAGTATAGTGTTACCATTAAGCAATGGAGTGTTCAATCCGACACCAAAACGTGATTCATTCTACAATATGGTGACGACAGATCTGAAATGCGGAATAAAAAAAGGAACTGTTTCGAAGACATCCACTGAGGTAAACGGGCGGGCTCATTTCGTATGGAATTGTGCGAAAAAAGTTGTGATTTTAAGGGCGAATCCGTTGATATCTATACTCCTTGCGTCATTTATCCGAACCAAGTATTGTATTCGTCAAAACCGACCATTATCGCGTCATCTTGTCCTTTGCTAAAATGCACAAATCTTAGTCCAACGGGCAATTATGCACTTAATGGTGTCAAAGATGTTCCCGACTACGCCGCCACCGTAAAAGCGAAAAAACTTGTGCGAACAAAACCGGAAGTGCCGTTGTACGATGCTGAAATAAATTACATTTGTGATCAATTCACATTCGATAATATTTCAACTCAGGTTAAATGACTTCTAGAAACCATTAATAAATGTCAACGAATTTTTAGCTTGCCATAAGTCACAGCGAAATTTGCCAAGTGGCCTCGAATGACGAATTTGTTATTCGTTCTCGATATGAATTTGAAGATTGGGGTGTCAACAGATTGAGATCTCATTTCCATGGACCTTGGGTTTTGCTAAACCTGCATTTCTCTTTTTTCAATTTCAAAAATTCAATTGCAGACGGATTCTGACAAAGATCTCAGGGCACAGTATGGGATACTTGACAACAAATTCACAATGGCGGATCATGTGTTCTTGCAATGCGATGCCAGTTGCGATAAGGGCTCTGTGCTCAAATTCACAATGAAAAAAGATTTCGCCTGGACGCTCGAATTTTTCTTGGCCGTCGATACGCCTGCCGTCAAAATATGCTTCAACACGTCGGCGCACGCTGAAACCGACAAGCTGCCAGTTTGCCATCCCGATTTAACAATGACAATTCTGCCGCAAAACAACTTGGTTCTATGGCCGTTCAATCGGATGGCTTCCTACCTTCGTTTCGGAAACAAGCCAATCGAGTCGACGCCGACTGGAAAACCGATTTTGTTGCACTTCCAACTAATTGGCCGACACTATGGAGGGAACCAAATTGGAGTACAAAATCGATTCAACGAATTGGTGTTGTCCGATTCCAGCGGATATCAGAGTGAACATCTTCGGTTAATCACCGTGTTCCTGCCAAAAGAGGACACTCTTCATAGTGGCTTCGGAATTTATCCTGTGGTAAGAAAAATTGCATGTTTTTTTGTTTTCAAAATTCACAAAATTATTGTCAGAACTTGGAATCTGCGACGACGCTTGTTAAAAAAGGCGAGACGGTTAAAAGACGGACAGCAGCCGGTGTAGCTAACGAGAAAATTTCCGAGAAATATGGAGAGATCATCAAGGCGCTCACATCACCGAAACCAACTGTGCCTGTGCCAAAATCGACAACTCCTCCACCTCAAATTGTCTACGTCAAAGATTCGATAAGCGAAGAACCCAGGGATTACGCCAGTCAGTATACAAAAGGCAAATGGTTGTTATTTGCGGTTCTTCTTGGATTCATCATTGGAACACTGATTATAACGATCATCGGTGGAGCTATTATGTATTTATTGAGGAGAACCGTATACAGTTTCTGGTTGGTCGCGTCATATATTTTTTTCTCTCTTCAATTCTCGTTTTAGGTACCGAGGAATGTTCAAACGTTATGGATGTGATGCATCTGGTACGACTGGCGGACTCACTGGAATTGGATTTGGAACTCAAATCACCACGACGCAGACGATTGGTGGTAAAACGACAGTCGGTGCAACAAGTGGAAGCACAACGGGAGGCGGCACAACAGCAGCATTGACGACAGGAGATGGAACCAGCATGGCACTGTAATACTTGAATGACGTTCGAACTAACCAATTGCTACTCTCGTTCTATTCAAGCCATTATAAAATGTTTTCTCTTTATGACCACATATGCTCTTGAAATTGCTAAAGTCAAAAAATCCTAAAAATAAAAAATGTTAAAACATTCAAAGCACCAGTCTCGAAAAACCATTTCGGATTGTTGCTAAAATTGAAGGAAATATGGAAAAAACTGTCGATATGTCCTAATTTCTCTGTGAATTTCAAAATGTCCATGATGCCATAGCAGGAAAAAAACGAACACAGGATTGTGGAATATTCCGTGAAATGTCCGAATATGATTACAATTAAAACCCTTTTGATTTAATTTGAGAAATAGAAATCCTGGGACTGGAGTTGGGCGGAACGAATGATTTGAAAATGTGGAAAGCCTTGGACCTCATTTTCGCATTTTTTTTAATCCTTAAAAAACTATTCCTCTTTAAAAAAAATAAATATTGAAAGTTAATTTCTCATGCAATTTATCCCAACGTGAAAATGTAGGTCCGCCTTGTGTTATTTTTAATATTAGTCTAAAACTAAGAAATCAATAGAACAGGTTTTACAAGAATTCAATTTAATGCGTGGATCAGTGAAAAGTAAGAATTGGCCTGTACCAATCTGTGCATTTTTAAAGGACTTCTATCGTTGCTCCATCTATGCTTCATAACCTTGACGACTTCTCAACCGCCAACTCCGGAGAGTTTTGTAATGCCGTTGAGTAATGGACGTGGTGTTTTGACGAATCAGTCATCCAAAGGTTTTGATATGCTTGGTGATGATTTTCCATGTGGCATAATAAAAGGATTGAAATCGCCGAATCCAGGATATGTTTGTTTTTATTTGTTTATTGCAGCTTTTCAATCATTTATGAAATTGTAGCCACATGAAACCACAGATGTCTATACTCCTTGTGTCGTTTATCCAAACCAAGTGTTGTATTCGGAGAAGAAGAGCAAAATCGAATCAGCCTGTCGGGTGTTGAAGTGTTTGAAATTGAAAGACTCGAAACCAGGAAAATACAAAATGGATCAAATTGCGGATGTATTGAATTTTAAAGAAACGAATGCGAAGAAAACGCCAGTTAGATCAAAAGTTGGAGAGCCAAGGTATGATACGGAAATGCACTACATTTGCGATGAATACACGTTTGACGATGTCGAAACACAGGTTTTAGTCTTTATTAAAATATAACTGAATACTCTAATTAAGCTTGCTATATTCAACGATGGAATCTGCCAAGTCAATATGAATCCACACTTTTTTGTTCGCCCACGCTACCGCAATTTCCGATCGGATTCGCTTTTTCGATTGTACAATCATTTTTACGGGCGGTCGGTAAGTAGAAAAATCTCTAGAAGTTTTTGAATTGATCGTTTACACAGAAAGACAAGTATAAAGGACTTCGGGCAATGTACGGGATTGACAAAAACGACTTTTCAATGGATGGCCGCGAATTTATGCAATGCGATGCTAGTTGTAGCATTGGGAATGTGTTCAAATATACAATGCTCCAAGACATGGCATGGAGATTGAATTTTTTTGTTCATCCAAATTCCACAGCTATCAAACTTTGCTTCAATGCAACTGGACACGGTGACCATTCCAGAATTTCTGAATGCCATCCTGAAATGATACTAATGATTTTGCCGCAAAACAATATGATTATTTGGCCGTATAATCGAATTCCGTCAAAAATTCGGTTCGGCACTGAAAGCAATCAAGACGGCAAACCGACAATGCTACAATTCCAAGTGTTCGTGATTGTCGATGGGGGCTCAAATCAGATCGGCGTGCTGAATCGTTTCAACGAAGTGGTGGTCAGTCAATCAAACGGTTACAGTAAGAAACACCTTCAACGAATTGACATTTTCTTGTCGAATGAAACGACGCTTGTCGACAATTTTGGCATCGTCGGCAAAGTAGGCAAACGACGGCCGGTGTCAATCGATCGCGACCCGTTTCAATTTCCAGAATGTCGAAGTCGGTTTTTGTCTCGTCAAAAAAGGCACAAAAGTTGTACACGTGAAGCCAGGCGCCGGAAGCGGCGAAAAAGTGACGGATTTCGACGGCGAGAGAATCCAAGAAATCAGGCCAGCATTCGCGAAAAAGTTTCTGCCGGTGCCGAGCTCAACGACGCCCACTCCTGAAGTTGTCTACGTCACCGACTCATACAGCGAACACGTCAAATCCTACACGAGCCAATTTGCCAACGGCAAATGGCTGCTTTTCGCAATTCTCATGGGGTTCATTGCTGGAACACTGGCTATTGTTATTTTGGGCGGAATAGTCTCGTACACACTTCGCCGAACCATCTACAGCGTCTGGTTATTCACAAAATATTCGAATGTTCAATACATTTCTTATTGTAGGTATCGGGCGATGTTCAAACGCTATGGGTGTGATGCGTCTGGTTCGACTGGCGGGCTCACTGGAATTGGGTTTGGTCCCATCATTACACAGGAAACTATCGCCAATGCATCGACGACGTCTACTATTGTGCCGACTAGAGGAACAACCCGCAGTAGAGGAGATGGCATTCAGATAACCGTCTGATTTTTGCAATCAATAAAATCGTTTAGTTTACTTCATGCATTCCAAAAGATCGACCATATCACAATCCCACAAATATTTTCACTGTTTTTTATACAAACAAAATTCGATAATGAAACTACATCGAAAAACTCGTATTCAGTAAAAAAAAATAAAATGACTGGGAAAACAGAATAGAAGAGGGTGTTGGAGTGGGGCGCGTACGAGAAATCTCGTCTGTCTCAATATGAATGCAATCTATAGGGTTAAGCATACACAGTACAAAAACGAATACCCTATATGGATGTGGAAGAATGGAAAAGAATGAAACGACAAATTTCTATTTACAAGTGTTCGGGATGGTTTCTGAGGCAATCGATGAGCTCGGCCGGCTTCATCTCCCCTTTGCAGATTTTGTGGACGGCGGTGAAGAGCGGAAACTTGCTATCAACACCAGTCTTCTGTGTCATCAAGTAAACTTCTTCGGCGGTCAATGGTCCTTGAGCGCTTTGTCCGTTCAAAAGCTCCTTCTCAATGACATCCATCGGTTTTCCAGTCTTTACAAAGGCTTCGCAAACCTTTAAATTCAAAATCAACGCCAAATCGCCACAACTTTTAAAATACCTTGCGGTTTCTTCCACCGTAGCAAGTGGTAATCAAATCAGCAATTCCGCAAGACTCGAAGAACGTCTGAAGGTTCGATCCCGGATAGTAGTGCTCAACAAATTTGGTGGTCTCCATCAAACCAAGACGAATCACAGCAGCCTTGGTGTTGTCGCCATATCCGAGACCGTCGGTGAATCCAGCAGCGCAAGCAACAATATTCTTGAGAGCTCCACACAATTCCACGGTGTGCGCGTCTTCGACTACATTAATTCGGAAGTTCTCCGTGTGGAACAACTTCTTCAACAATGGTCCGTCTTGCGCCTTTCTCTTGCTTCCTCAAAATCAATGGGTAACGCAACAATTCGACTAAAAAATCCACTAGTACCAATGGTCGCCTCGCAAAAGTTGTCGTTCGCCACTTCCGGCGCCAAATTCGCACCCATCAGCACGCTGACCTCAATCTTCAGAATATCACGAATCTCCTCCGAAATCAGTTTCAATCCGCCCTTCTTCTGTGTCGAGACTCCCTGAAAATCAATCATTCTTCAACAAAATATTAAATCCTTCCGATTAGGGTCATGCGTCATACAGTTACAGGGTGCGGCAAAATTACGGGTGCATGGATAGAACGTAATAACTTTTTTAAAAATCAACAAAACTCTTTCAAATTAATACCAAAATTTATTCAACACATAACAATCACAAATTAATTATCGTTGTTCGATTCTTCCATCTCGATTCTTGATAACTTCCTTCAGACGCTTCGGATAGGCGTCGACGGTGGCACGCAGGTATTTGGCGTCCAATTTGTCCCATTCCGTCAGAAGGGCAGCTTTCAATGAGTTCATATTTGGGTGTGGGAAAGCTGACACCTTCTCTTGCAAGACCCCCAGACAGAATAGCCCATGGGGTTCAGGTCGGGCGACGAAGCGGGCCAATCCGTTGACTTGATGAATGATGGAAAATGGCTACCGCACAAGTCTTGAATGATTTTGGCTCGATGTGCAGGGGCTCCGTACTGTTGAAAAGTCCAAGATCGATTTCCGAAGTGAGATTGGGACCAGGGAAGGACATTCTTCTTCAGGATCTCATTAAGATAGTAATTTTGATCAATCTTCACTCCGGGATCAACGAAATCAGTGGTTTCTTGTCGTCAGCGCAGATCCCACCGAATACCATGATCTTCTGAGGATGGGAAACACGATGAATGGTTCTGCTTTTGTTCATAGCTTCTTCAGACCTTCTGGCGATCACTCTGTGGTTTTGGAGATTGAAAGCAGCTTCTACCGTAAACAGCTTCTCATCCATGACGAAAATCGTTAGGTGCTTTTCTTGCCGCGTGCCAGCGAGGAGCGTTTCGCACTTTTTCATTCGACCTTCTTTATTTTTTTCAGTTAGAATGGCGGATTTTCTGACACGATAAGGTATCAGGTTCAGCTCATCTTTGGCAATTTTTCCCACCATCTCGGACTCACATGGACATCTGACACCATCTTTCTGATGCTACAATCTGGATTTCGACGAACTCGTTCCCTGATGATCTTGACTCGTTCCGGTGTTATTAAAGAATGTTTTCTTCCTTTTCTAGGACAGCTAGAGGGTCCTCCTATCTCATCAAAACGTTTCCAAGTTGTTTGTACGGTGTTTTGGTGAACTCCAAGGATTTTAGAAATCATCTTGAACGACGTTCCCTTTTTTTCAAGTCGATGATGGCGGCACGATGAATAGAATCAGCTGTCATTTTTGTAATACGAAACGGAATTTCATGAAACTTTCAGAAAATGATTAAAACGTCATAGAAAATAAAATAAAAACATAAAACTGCACAAAAAATGCGACAGTGCACTGTGAGCTTGCACCAAAGTTATGCACCCGTAATTTTGCCGCACCCTGTACGAGGCAGAAATAGTGGTTTTGGGTGAGGAAATAAGTGATTGGATATGTATTCATGCAGAAAAGTAAATAAGAAAAACAGCAAATGAAAAGCAATTCGATACCTCAAGTTGAGCCGCATCGAAAGCTATTCCCTAAAAAAACGACAATACAACAAAATACCAAATTCGCCGCCGAGAAAACACCACAACAAATTCCAAGTACGTCTCAATCACTATTTGATTTTTTCCTATTCTACTATTGCTCAGGCGTGAATCAATCATGAATGATCCAAGTGCAAAACTCACTTTGATAAGGGAAATCGCTTGAGAGTCAGATGGAATTTTTCCAATCAATTTTTCGCAGATTCCTGGAAAGACAAAAAAAAAGAGTTTTTGTGGAATTTTCAATCGATTTCAATTTACGCACCTTTAACAAATTGATGTGGGACGACGAACACAAGAATGTTGGATCCAGCGCAAGACTCGACCAAATCAGTCACCGCCACCTACAAAGTTAATTCTAATTTTTTCAATTTCAACTTTTTTTTTTCAAAATCATCGTATTAAAATTCTTACAGAATATTTTTCTACAGTTTATTTAACTTAGAATCTACAGTAATTCACATTGATTTCATAAATAAATCGCAAAAAAAACGTGTTCTATTCGAAACATCACAATTTGTTTTTCTCGTGTCCACTTACCACATTGGTGGGCAGAATTTTTCCCGGCAAGTACTTGATGTTCTCATGGCGTGTGTTGATAACCTCCGACAATTTCTCGCCGTTCACAATTTCCTCGAAAACCCACATGCGGACTTCCGGGTCGAACAGGTCCGGATAAGCTTTGGTTGTTGAGCCGACGATTCGGGCAATAGCCGATCCCCTGAAATGCGAAACGAATTATCGATTCATATTCCAGACAATCAAACTTCGCTTACCAGTTTCCCGATCCGATAATAGTAACCTTCTTTGGTGCCATTGTAGTAGTCGTTCCAAAATATCGAAATAGAGATCCAATCTGGAAACCAATAATCAATGACAAGTAGCACCAAACGGGAGAACAAATTAATCGGGTCTTCTAATTAACAAACAAATGATGATCGTTGACGCCGCTCCGCCGACTCCTCCCTTATCGGTACGAGAGATGAAGAGGCGGCAGAGAAGCGATAGCGATGTTTTCAAATCAAGGAACACTGTAGCGATGAATTGCTGACAATGCTGATATCATTATCACCATTGAATTGTTTTGAGAAACAATTTTTCTTCAAAAAAAAAATACCAAAAATGTAATTTTAATCCAATTTTGGGAGTGCTGGTTTTTGGCAGAGTTTGGGAAACTTCTGGTACACTTATTATAATCAACACATAAAAATTCAGTGAATTAGAGGTCTCAAGATCTAGAATAATCACGAAAATATTAATGAAAATCTATTATCCAATGGGAAATTTTGGTTAATTGAAGTATTCAATTTGATGTTGTGGTCAAATACTGAATTAGTGATTTTATTAAGAAACATGTATGGTCGGCGTCACGTGTTGGCCGAAAATTGGCTAAATACCAAAAAAAAAACTATGGACGCGATCTTGGCACAGAACAAGCGGGAGAGTGACGATTTAGGGGAACCGATATAAGGCGTAAACTGTGCGCTGCCATAGTTTTTCTGGCCTTTAGCAAATTTCCCCCACCCGCCCCCGTAGTCGCGCTCGGACGCCGACAATGACAATATTTCTACAAGTTGGGGAGGGTTTTTATACATTTGATCGACTGGTTTTCCTTTCATTCTGAAATGAATTCCAAATTATCATCGTTTTATGAAGACGAGATTTAAGCAAAGTCACGCATCTACTAAAAACTAAAAGTATTTGTCATCCTATTATGGAATCATAGTTCATAAATGGACGTGGCTGACGTCGACTTTTTATAACTACATATGTTAGTAGAAGATCACCAAAATTGAATCATTTCACTTCAAAACGCGCCTTTTAAAACATTTCCTCGAAAATATTTGGTTGAAAATGTCTCAAAGATGAATTGATGAACGCGTTGTGTGGCACTGAATGAGATGCGAGCAACTGCTTTTTTTTAGATGCCGATGGGATAGGCGAAGAAATATAACACAACACAACGAGTTGTGGTCCCAAAAAATTCCTCTTGTTGCGTCACACAACGAAAAAAAAGACTATCTCGGCGATATATGGAAAGCCGCGAGTATGCGAGCCGAACGAATTTCGGCGACTGATTGACCCGAAATAGAATCAGGCGACTTTTAAAGAACAATTATCGCATCATTTTTTTCTGGTGGAATTTGGACATTGATAGCGAAACAGGTTGTGCGAAAATCATCTTCAAAGATTCATTGCCTTATCAGCAGAGTATCTTTAAAGGTTTCGCTGATACGCGATCATTGCACACTTCAGAGAAACACTACCGTAATCGGCGACACGTGAAAATGAGATGATCGGGTTGAATAGAAATGTAAAATTTTGGAAATCTCAAAGGGTTCTTATCTGAAATACCTAATCCCTAGTGGTTTACAGATTTCGGGGGAAAAGCTCAAAACACAATCAGTAAATCCCTCGTTAAAGTTTCATGAAATTCGTAAAAAAAAAACAATTTTTTCCAATATTTTGAGATTTCTTTAAAAACTGTGCGTGTTATAACATGAATCGTTTTGTTTTAAATTAATATATAAGAAAAAAGAAACTTACACCCCACGAATTGTCTTGAATATTTGCTTGACTGGAAGAAGAAGAAGAAGAAGAACAAATTTCAGACATTATGATTGTGTTTCCTATTCACCATTAACCGATCTTATAAATACCCAATTTTTTGTTATCTGTCGTCATCAGAATGACGAAAATATTTAGGTTATAAAAATACGTTCATATGATGTTCATGTGCCACCGCATTACACTTTACGGTGTATGATTTAAAGAAAAGGTTCTTTGTCTTAAGAAAAATTAAGGAAGTAAAGAAAGAGAATGTATTGAAATTTTCGGAATTTCGATACAATTCCGAATAAATTAGATTTAATAAAAAAATAGAATAAAAATTTGAAAATTTCAAAAATCAATTCAATATCCACCCACGTAGATTCACGTAATTAGCTCACGTACAAAAATTTCACGTAATATTCGATTATTGCGCTCTCTTTTTTTTGTAGTCGCTTGCGTGAACGGTAAATATTTGCTTTTGTTTCTTATTTGGTTTTGATTTCAACAGTTAAAAAAAAAGATTTTTTTACCAATGGGAGTTCAAAACCAATTTTGAAAAGGATGATTTCGTTCGTTTTCTCTCTTCCCTTGAGAGCTTTTTCAAAAGAGCTTCGCCGATGCTTCATTTTTTCGTCGTTCTCTGTCAAAAGCTTTCCAAAAAATAAAACTCACCCTTAGCATTCAATTTTCGAAGCGGACTGTTTAATTGGCCGTTCGACGAGTCCCCAAACAACGACCTTCTGTTTTTCCCTGCAATTGCGCCAGATGTTTTATTCGAAAATCAATTGAGAAGATTGGTGAATTTGGCGTATGAATTTAATCGGCAAAAATAAATTTGGAAGAAAAAAAACAACAACTGAGTTTGGCACGAAGTATGTGTAACGATGGACGCCGAACCGAGCCCAACGACACACAAAATCGACGAAATAAGAACGAGTTGGAAGAAGCGCGATGGAAAATAGTGCGAACGTCGTAGAGCCATAAGACGGATAGACATTTCGCGAGCTCTTTTTTTCCATTCATTTAGATCCCCCTGTTGAACCAACATACAGCACTTTTCCGATTTGTCTGACGATTCTGTTATTTTGCAAATTTGCATGCCTTCAACCACGCAATTAAAGGCCACTGGTTGTCGGCCTCCAATGCTCATTCGTCCTCGACATTTTTCAATTGCGCCATGTTCATGTTCCTACGCGCCAATTTTTTTTCTACTTGCGCACTATGCATGTTTTATTATTATTTTCCTCTTCGCATATTAGATATTTTCTCGATAATTGTGTTCTTTATTATTTTAGAAATGCTACATCTTCTAATACTACTTTCTCTATCAGTGGTTCTAGGCAACAGGCATCTCAATCTTGATTTCAGTAGGCAAGTAGTGTATGCAGTGAATTGCGGTATGAACTAGAGGATCCCGAATTAATCTGAAACGCCTTTTTCTAGGTGGACCTACTGTAAAAGCAGCGCATAATATTGTGTACGAAGAGGATCGGCTGAAGATTGGAACAACGTCAGCAGCTGGAATAATATATGATTTTCCGAATGCTCATATCGATGACGTTCCACTTTATCAAGTAATTTTATTATTACGAATAATTTGAATATCTTCAAGTTTAGACAGAACGATTCCATGAGGAAACATTTGGCTATGAATTCGAGCTCCCCAATGGAGATTATGTGCTCATTTTGAAGTTCTCTGAAGTATATTTCCAAGCTCCTTATCAGAAACTTTTCGATATTGTCGTGAATGGAGTGACAATTGTGTCTCGCATGGACGTTTTTTCGGACGCTGGTGGAATTGGCTACGCTTTCGACGTGTAAGAAACCGAGAAAAATGTGTAGAACAAAAAAGAAACAATTAATTTGGCAATCTGTGATGTGTCTACGCACGAATTTAGGCGAAAAATTATTATTTGTGAACAATCAATAATGAAAATTAGCGCACAATTCAAATAAATTCACGAATAAATGCCATTACAATTTTTCTATTACTTTAAAGGCATGCCGAGGTCAAAGTTCGAAACAATCTTATTTTATTGAACGGCGAGAAAAGGGATTATCGAGGAAAACTGGAAGTCAATTTCGTGAAGGTAAATGCCGATTCGAATGGCTATCGATGAGTAGAATCAACGAAATTCGTTTGAAAACGAGATTATTGCAGGGAATCGCCGATAATCCGAAAATCAACGCGATTGCCGTTGTTCGCGGAAATCTTGATGAAATGCCGAGACTCCCAATTCCATATAGGCATAGCATTGTAACAACCAATAATTAGAAAACTCAAAGCATCGTTCAATTTTAGCTTGAGGGTGGGGCGACTGTTCAAGTCATCATACCAGGATTTGTTGAGCTAATGAGATATCCAAAGAATAATGTTATCGAGGAGGAGCAACCAGCAGAAATGTTCGTCTATGGCGATGAGAACACTACAGACAGAACAAAAGAGCCCCTTTCGATTTCTGCCGATTCTGATGTTACTGCGATTGCCATGGCTGGTTCTAACAATGATGATACCAAAAAAAGTCGAGCCAACGATGATGACGAAGAAGAACCGTGGTTCTTTACAGAGGTAGACAGATAATAAAAAATATTTTTTCGATTATCAACATTTTCAGGAGGTGAAACTAACCGGCATCAAAATGATCACTGGAATACTATCTCTTGGACCACTTTGTTTTTTTCTTTCTTATTCGCCCGTGAATGCTAGAAAATAATAGAACGAAAAATGAGAAATTTGCCCTATATAGTTTAGGCTTTCAATTATGAATTTATGGGTCATTCATTGCCATTTATCACTTCTTTTTTTTTACTCAGATAAGACTTTTTGTTAAGTATTCGTGTAGATTTTAGCCCACGGGACAATTTTATTTATTTTAAATATATAAACTTGTGATTAATAAATCAGTTTAGCTCATTTTTTGAATTTTTCCTTATATGTAATTATTTCTTCTTGTGAGAGGTGAGTAAGTTTCAAAGATAACAAATTTCAAATGAAAATTACTAATCAATGTATTGCCGAATAGAACGTTTTAAACTTCTTGAAGAAAACTGTTGCGATATTTTTAGAGCAATGTTTGCAATGTGATGAATTCATTCACACGAACTTGCACACTTGATTGTCAAGTCAAATTTTAAAAAATTTGATTGCTTGTTAGTAAGATAAATTAAATGATATTAATGAACAGAATTGAAGGAGTTGATTGAAAAAAATTGCCAAAAAATAAATAAAATAAATGAGTGTCGGCATTTAAAATGCAAGTCCGCATTGCAGACTCATTTTTCCTTTGGAAAATTTTCAAAAAAGTGACATTCCTGATTTATTTCTAGCAATTCCCAATTTTTGATTTAATAATATGCCAATAGATTTGAAATATTTTACAAGATATTGCAGTTCAACGTTTTTTATTCAAGGATGTTTTTATGCTGTGACGACCGGCCACCCTCTCACACATCCATTTATTCATTCGCTCACACTGTCGGGCGCCTTGCGTTTCTCTCTCTGCGCGCATTGCATCTTTTCCTTGTTACACACGACTTTCGCGTCGTTTCATCGCTCTGCCTCCTGACAATTTGGTCTTATGTCACATTTTATAGTCAAAAAAACTAAAAGGCTTCATCGCGTTAATAATTCGCTGCAATGTGCAATAGCTGTTTTTTTTTTCAAATGTAAGTTGCAGAATGTCCAGACGATCAAGAAGTCGATCCCGATCACCGCGAAGAGATCGAGATGAAAGAAGGCGCCGTGATGAGCGCAAACGCGAAAAAAGGGATAGAGAACGCCGAAGGAGGTTATTACAACGCGATTTATCAAAATAATCGATTTTTCTTCTAGACATCGAAGCAGTTCGTCCGAAGGTTCTTCCGCTATTGACTCGCACCAACTTGGGAGTATTTTGAAAGAAAGACGACGAGAAAAAAGTCGAGAGCGCAGCTCGCCAAGGTTTTTTTCTCTTCAGAACCACAAAAATGCTTTCTTTTTTTTTCAAGATATTCGGAACCAGTCGAGGATATTGTAGTGCCATTTGATGTAAATACTTTAGACGAATCGGCGAAAAAATGGTTAGAAGAACGAATTGTAGAGCAGGTTTGAAGAATTTGAAAGCCACGATTAGCTGTAAATCATGTTTAGGTGACATCTCGAGTTGACAAATTGGAGAGCTTGATGGCGGAAAAGGCGACCGCGGCGCGGAATGAGATGGAAAAAATGCTGCGGGCACAGATTGAAGCGGAAATGACAAACGAGTTGGCCGAATGCAAAAAAAGAGATGTAAGTTGACGGATTAAACTCTATTATAGGGGGTTATAGGATGAAAAACTAAACTATTTTATTAGGTCGATTCTTTTCGTGCTACCGCAAATTCTTGCTTAGTGCAAAAAATATAGAATATATAAAAAATTTTGTTTGCAGGAAGAATCACGGAAACGGTGTGCACAATTGGAGCTCGAGCTGGAGCAGAAAATTGCCGAAGCGGAAGAAAGCCGAAAAAAATACGTAAGTTATACGAGTTTAAATCGAATTGTCACGATATTTTTTGATGATAAACGTTTTCAGATATTAAACTTTTTTTTATTTATTTCTTTTTTTCTCTCTCAATCTTTCATTCTCATTTCAATCAGAATCAGATGTTTTCGGTTTCCCCCCTCTTACCTTATTCAGATGATTAAGTGTATCAAAACGAAGGGAATTTGTTGAAATATCCCAATTATATTGAGAATGATGTGTGTGTGCCAATCAGTTCAGCGTCAATCGACAACTGGCAAGCAGTCGCGGCGGTTTGTTGAATTTTTCTAACTAGATTACTCGTATCAATGTTATTATATAAATAAATGAAAATACATTAAAAATGGTGTGCGTAGGCGCCGGAGTTTTGAAATTCAGTGGCTCGATAAACGGCAATTTCAGGAGGAGAACCGATTGGCGATGCTTGAGCAGAAAGGCCATTTGGAAAGAGAACGCGCCGAATTGGCCCGACAAAAGTTGGAATTGGTGAAGAGTGAACAACAGACGATTATTAACAAAGGCGGTGCATCACGAGCGCCGATCAAATTCAAATTTGGCAAATAGAATTTAGAGAGTTATAATATTAATGATTCGACTTGATCTCAGTGTTCGCCTTCTTCAACCTGCCTAATCAATAAATGTTCTTAAACAGTTTTTTGTTGTTATTATTATTATTATTTATTTTAACAGAAAGCGAATATCGTTGGAATACTGTCGATTTATATTTTCTGATACAAGTTTTGTGAGTTGTGGAGCGACTTGTTTTGTGTGCATCGTGTGGATTATTGATAAGTAGAAGAGATCTTCTTGATATGACCCTTTATTTTAAATGTCTTGCACAATGTTGAAATGTTAATGTTTATCCGACGTTTCGATCTTTAGATCATCATCAGGGAAGGTCAATTTACCTCAAACTTGGGTAATCAATAATTTTCTGATACAACTCGATTGCAGATTGTCATGTTTCGGTTTGATAATAAATTTTATCGTATATATGAGGGAAAAATTTCACAAGAATGTTTTAATTTAAAAAAAAATGAAAAAAAACATCACATGTGTCTAGAAATGAGCTTGGAATTATTGGAAATCGTACCGAATTTTGAAAAGAAAATTAATATTTTAAATACTTAAAAACGGAAAGATTCAGGCATAATGAGAACATTGCATATTCTCCTGGGTATCTTCCTGCCTTTGACGAACTGCCAATGGACAACAGAAGATCTTTCGCTTTATGATCTCGTCGAGGATGTCAACGCAAACTTTTACGAGATTTTTGAAGTGGATAGGGTAACTTTTAACGTATTCATTGGTGTTTTAGTTATTTTTTATTTTCAGGAAGCCAGTACAGGACAAATCAAATCCGCTTATAGGAAGTTGACGCTGAAATGGCATCCGGATCGAAACTCAGCACCAGAAGCAACCCAAAAGTTTCAACAGGTGATATAATTAATTTTAATTATATTGTATTTATAATTACTGTAGTATGTTCGCTTTGCCAAATGGAATTGCGAGAAATCTCAAAACTTTTAATTTTTCACATTTTGATAAAATTAATTCAGATCGCTGGAATTTACGAAATTTTAAAATCCAATGAACTTCGTGAAAAGTATAACAATATTTTGGATAACGGGCTACCATCATGGCGACAGCCTCTATACTATTATAGGTATTCATTTTAAAAAAATTTGAATAAGCTTTTGAATGAATAACAGGCGAATGCGGAAGTTGACATGGTACGAAGGGATCCTTGTTCTGCTATTCATTGCCACAATTGCTCATTATCTCATGATGTGGGCTGCATATTTTGAGAAGACATTAGTCTATAAACAGGTTTTTCTATTAGATTTTACATAAACCGATTTAACCAAAAATTATTGATTTTAAGAATATGAAAAAGTCGAGAAAATCGAAGAAGGATACAGCCGTTGACGCGGATGAAGCTATGCACACGGCATTGGCCGAATTCCGACCGAAACCGCGTGAACTTTTGCCTATTCTGATAGTCAAGGGAACGATATCTTTGTGTAGCGACTTTGTGGTGGTATTCAAAATGATGATGAAAGAGAAAGAAGCTGATAGGGAAGAAGTGGTTGAAGCACCGAAACGACAAAAACCAACGGCACCGCCTCAGCCTGAGTTCAAGTTCGAAATGGCAACGAATATCAAAGCGGTTTCGACAAATGATCCGGAAATGGAGAAAAAGTATAAAGCCGAGAGCGAGGTTGCCGCTAAAAGTAGGATTCCTATAATTGGTTAAGATGGTTTCAATCCAAATTTTAATAGAACAAGCTGGATGCCCGTGGACTCCCGAAGAGCTTGCTCATCTTGTTCGGTTAACAACGGAAAAGTTTCCAGCGGGTTTTAAAAATGGCCGTGCATCGTTATAGATTAAAACATTTTTTCCAGGAACTCCGAATCGATGGGAGCAAATGGGACGAGTACTTAATCGAACTGAAGACGATGTCATCACAATGGCGGGAAAATTGAAGCAGATGAAGCAGGTATCGATTGTTTATTTGAAAACAATTTTTAAATTTAATTGGTTTAATAGGAAGACTACACGAAGTTGTTGATGACCTCAATTCAGCAGAATGTGCCGGCAGAGGAGCCAAAAGAGCATGAATGGACACAGGCCGAGCAGAAGCAATTCGAATTGGCGTTGCAGAAGTATCCGAAGGGAACTGATGAAAGGTTGAATATGCAATTGATTCTCTTTTATTTGATTTTTTTTGCAGATGGGATCGTATCGCGGAAGCGATTGGAACCAAATCCAAAAAGCAGGTTATGCTTCGATTCAAACAATTAGCAGAACTTGTGAAAAAGAAAAACACAACAAAATAACCTAAAGATTCGCACGTTTTGGGTTTTTTTCATCGGGTTTGGTTAAAATAAGTTTATTAACAATAAAGTTATTAATATAATTATTATTGCAACTTATTAAAAAAAAACAGTTCCAGACTAGAAGAAACAGCTAGGCAGAATGGCGAAAATTGAGAGGAAAAATTGAATGAAAGAAAAAAAAAACGGATTAAAGCACCAAAAATGAGAAAAGAAAACGTCGGCAAGGCACATAAAATCATTATCTAGAAAAACAAGAAACACCCGCAGATGTGAATTAGCACTTGAAAGGGCAGTAATGAAAATGAGCAAATTACAAAAATTAGAGCATTTGTCCGTGACTTCTTTGATTGTATGTGTCTTGGGTCGCATAGCGGCTTTTCGCATCAGCGTAGTGAGCATCAGTGGGTTCGCCGCGTTGAGCTCGAAGCTCCGCGTGCTCAGTTGGCGGACGATTGCGTTTGAAGAAGCCGCACTGCAAATGACAGGTTCGTGTGATTCTCGGAAAACGCACATACCCTCCATAAGAGAAGAATGAGAAGAATGAGGATTGCGAGTCCGATGAGCACAGCGATCAGATAAAGCCACCAGGGCAAATCGCGTCCTTCGCCATCGGAAGCGATCGCGTTCATATTTGTCGAGACCGCGGTGATCAACGTTGGCTTATGGGGTAGATTGTATTTAGTTGAAGTGACGCGAGCGACCGCCAATGACGAAATATCGCCGCCAGGATTTCTTTCTTCAACGAGCGTGTTGGTGGCAAGTCTTGAGAATATCTGAAATTCATTTCTTTTTTTTTCTAGTAAAATTCTGATTCAAATTACCTCGACTAGCACGAATTCCTCTTCTTTAAGATCATAAATATCACATTCAATATGTGTGCATCTCAATGAGTTGCAGTCAACTGTCGCCCTCGAGACGATTCCCTTATAGTCGATCACTCCACCAGCTTCCTTCGACAATTTGACGGCTTCACGCAAATCAGCGAATCTCGCCTTGTCGGTGCTCAGTCGAGCTCCTTGCTTCTTCCTCTTTCCTCCACTAGCTCCAGCAGCTCTTTTGACCTTCTTGCTTCCACCACGCTCATAATCCTCGTCGAACTCATCGTCTTCTTCATACTCCTCATCGGGAATATACTCAAAATCGCCTTTTTTGACATTCTTCTCCACGTATTCCCAGTTTCCTCCACCGCCAGCTCGAATTTTCTCGTCGTCCTTTTCATAGACGTGAACTGGTCCGGAATAATGAGTGGTTTCATCCTCGTGCGGTGTCGTCACATCATCCTCATACGACTCATCGTCTTCCTCTCGCGAATATTCGTGCGGAGCTCTTGCGACTGGCGGCTCAGTTGGCACGTGCTCATTGGTGAGCTACAACAAGACTATCATTGAAGGAGCAATCGGCCGATAATCATACCCTAAGATTGAGAGGATTGACGTTTTGAATTTGCTTGACACGACATCTTCCCTTATTCGGTGGATTCACAACGGGCTCAGTGATGAGATACAGCAAATGACCCCCTAAAGAAAAATGGTTTAATCGTCAGCTACATTTTCCCAGTTCAACATTATACCTTCGGTCGAGAACGACGGCCAGAAGATGTCGAGAGTAGCAGCATCAATTTCCGATGGTCCTCTATTGCTGACCTAAATCCTCTCCCAAAAATGATTTGTCTCATTATTCGCAAAAAGTCTCACTTGATATAAATGCGATACAACTGGTCCAATCTCATTATCATCAAACATTTCTCCATTTGTCTTGTTACTCGTCGAGAAATCAACCTGTTCCGGGTTTGATCGTCCATTGAGATTCAATTGATTCTTGAAATCGACCGGGATTTTGAAAGTGACCTTATTATCGGCCGTCGTATGCGCTTCTTCTGTATTGCTGCTGTTGACGTGGGCGTTGATTTCAATCGGCTCGAGCGGCGGCTTATCGGTGGAAGCTGTAACGCGGACAACACTGCTGATAACCTATAACATCCAAATTTGGTTTAATTTAAAAAAATTACGAATTGCGTTGGCCAACCTTATTCGCTGGAAGTGGGTTCCCAAGATCACAGGCAAATGTCCATTTTCCGTTTTCATCGGGTTCGCTCGATGTTGGCGAACAAGCGGGCGTCGTTTTCGCATCACCAGCACTCTCAATTCCACTATACTCGAATCCTTGTGGAACATCGAAATAGAGTTTCGTTTCATACGAATCCTCTCCGCCATTCTCAACCGTCACATTGATAAGCATTGTGTTGTCTTGGGTTCCGAGAAGGAATTTCTCGCGATCACTGAAATATTGGCCGGGGGCAATGGTCGAATTCAATAAAGAAGCAACTCACGCAACGGCGTGAACTTTCAGATCGGGAACACACAAATCATCATCTCCACAATTGTTGGCGATGTTAATCTGAAAATCCATGACTAATTTGATCTACCTTGCTATATTTGATCTACCTTGTTCTCAAAAGAAAGCGGCACAGTGGTGTCAATGGCTGGCTCGAGTTTGTCACCTCTCAACTTGCCAGTCTTCGATTCAACATATGTGTAATTGACGGACCAATGAATTGGCGAGAGCTTGTCCCTGGAATAGTAATAAGCAATTTATCGAAATTCTATTTCAATCCTATACTTCATTGTAGAAGAAGCAAAGAATCGATGGCGGAAGCATTTTTGACGTCCCTTCTCAAGTCGGACTCTCTGCTCGATCGATGATGGATGATCTCTAGTTCTTGATCCTTGAGCAACCTTGATGCTTCTGTCGGCTTTCTAAACCGGCGAATGTATTCATGATACTCATAGTTTTCTCATTCCTACCACATCCTTCTGCAAGAAGTAAGCACGTGGCTCCGGCGAATGATCATCCAAATTAAATCGGAGGTCGAACTCGAGATCATTTGGAGTATCTCCCTTGCCTTCATAGCGGAAGCAAGTGTTAATGTGACGGCTAAATGAAGCTCATACACTTCTAAAATTGGCAATTCGTCATACCAAGCTTGTTTTCCAAGTTTTCCATCGACATCGCAGTTCTTCTCCTCAACGTTGATCAATGCTGATTCGGCTTCGGTCTGTCCGGTGACAGTGACAACTGGTTTCGTGAGAAGAACAGCGGCATTTCCAGTCTTCCAAGCACCTACAGCGATGTCTGAAAAAAGGTGAAATGAAAAAAATGAGCAGTTGAATCTGCTCACCTGGCATTCCGTTTCCATCAACGTCGACACCTCCGGCAACCGAGAATCCGAAGCTCTTCGCCTTGCCGCTTCCAATCGAAGCACCTTCGATTTTCTGTGTTGCCTTCTCTCGAACGCCATCCTTTGATCCATGAATCACATACACGGCGCCTTGTTTGTTCTTTCCAGCATATGGAGCACCAACAATCACATCTAAAATCAAATAGAAATCAAAATTATTCGAAAGAACGAAAATCGAATTCTTACCATTATATCCATCAAGATTCAAATCTCCAGCGGCAGCCAACGAGAATCCGAATCGTCCCCATTGGTCATCACCAGTGACTTGGACCTGTTTGCCGAAGACGCCTGGAGCAGTTTGAAGGAACACGATGATCTTGCCGACGTCGTATTGCGGTTTGCTCTCCTGCGTTTTCGCGTCCTTCACACTTCCGTAATCCGTGTAGAATGGGCATCCCATAATGATGTCATCACGCCTAAAAACCACAATTGATGATTCCCCCGATCGCAGCTAATTACCCATCCTTATTGACGTCAGTAACTGCCACAGCTCCTCCGCAATATTGGCCGTGTTGAGTGGAAAGACCATCAGTCAAATTCACCAACATTTGGAGTTTCGATGTGTAAAGCACAAGCTTTCCATGAAGATTATTGCCGCGTGGAACACCGGCGACGATGTCATCGACGCCATCGCCGTCAAAATCGCCGGTGGCGGTCGCATAACCCATCATGTCGTGATCATACTCCTTGCTTCCATATTCGGTGTTCGGCCGATCGGTGGCATTTCGAGTGTTTTGCGAGAATATCGCGCCTTGCCAATACCAAACGCCGGGCGCGCCGACAAACACCCGATCGAGACCCGTCTTTCCGGGTATCGCCGCCGAGAAGCCGCATTGACCGTAGCCCAAACGATGGCGTCCGTGACGAGCCGCTGCAAAAAAAGAAAGAGAAAACCGAATCGGTGATTCGATTCATTCGATTTGATGTCTTACGCTCTTGCTTGCAACTCGAGAATTCCTCAGTTTTGTCGAATCCGTGCTCGGCGTAGAAGCAGGTGCCCACCGGCTCGATAACCTCGAATTTCGAATAAAAATACTTGTATTTCGGTGCGCACATCTATTTTTCAAAAAAAAAAGTTGTGTTCTTCATTGTTGATTTATTTATTCTACCAATAGTTTGTCGTGACGATCGTTCGATTTGACGGTGGCGCCAAAGAATTGATTGGCCTTGTCTTCGATCGGTATCAGCGATGAGCCATTGAGTTTGCGCAAGTTGCCCTCTGCAATTGTACACATTGTATTACAATAGAGCGGCGGTCTCGAGGCGACTTTGCTTGTCGACGTGCACCTCCCGACAGGTCGCCCGGTTCACCGAACACGCGTACACAGCGCCGGGTCGCCGAATGCCCGCCAAATTCGGGTTCGTTGATTCGCCTTCCGGAGCGCCGACCACCAGACTGCAAAATGCTAATTAGTGCCGCAATTATGATTCGAGTGAATGCGATTAGCTTTTATAATTTCGCGAATCCAAACATAATAATTTTGTTGGAATTTTTTTTTTTGAAAATCTCACATTGGCATCCCTTTCTGCTCGTTGTAGAAATCGAGTGAGTATCCGAAGTAGCTATTGGCCATATGGTGAACAACGACATTCTTGGTGTCGACGTTGAATCCATGAATCGCGCCGATGATCGCGGCGAGACACAGCGCCACCAACGCCAACATCGCGTTGGTCCGACTACCCGATCGCATAAACGGCCCTCCCACTACAAAATTTGCGCACTACATTCAAAAACAATTAAAAACACAGAGAGAGAATGGGTCGAAAACGAGGCGAACGGACAGCGGCACGCGATATTTCGAAACGAAACGACACTACATAAGATGGAGGGGGAAAAAAACGGAAATTCACTTGGAACAAAAGGGTCATTTGTAACGAGTCGACGGGGGTCAATTGCAATGTTCCCAAAATCGCTATTGGCCTACACACTTCAAACTTTATGCTTAGAAGATGCGCGACGACGACGACGACGAGCATTCGGCTCGTTATCAAACATCTGCTTCTCGACAAAAATAGCGTTGAGGAGCGCGAGGCGCAGACGGTTGGGCAATTGCATAAATTTGAAATGAACATGGGTCACAATGACTGATGACAGTTTGTTGTTGCCCTTCAACCATAATTGGAGCTTGTCGAGCGAGCGTGCGCTTCGAGGAGAGTCGGGGCGAATTGTGATGAACTTGTGAATCGAATGGGGGGGGGGGCGGAGTTTGCTTTTTATAGGCCTTCTCAGCGCATTATGTACGCGAAGTTGATTTCGACGACGAGAAAAAAAAAACAATGAATAATTGATTGGCTCAGTTGTGAATTTCGTTGGTCACTTCTCAACATTGTTTAAATATATATCGAAATAAGCCAATAGACATGATAGCAATAAGATCTTTGTTTCGATTTGTATACAATGATCGCTTGAAACAGGAAAATTGAATAGGGTAGGAATAGAAGAGATTAGGAGGTAATTAAGGGTTCTTAAACAAAAGCTGAAGAAATTCAATCTAAATAATTGCTGTTCGCACTTCAAATTGAATTTCTTTATTTGAGCATCGAAGCATCTTGCCGAATCAAAATTCTGTCGGCTTTCAAAATAGATAACTGAGCTTTCACTATTTTATTTTTGAGGTTTTAAGCTGGTGCAGTGTAAACGAAGAAAATTGATTTATTTTGAAGAACATTTGTCTATTCCAAAAAAGGAACATTGAAAATGAATTGACAAATTGTACAAAAAATGCGTGTTGGATTCAGACAAAACGATTGTGCAGATGGACGGACCATCTGGAATTCGAAATGGGTGTTTGGTGAAAAGAAAAACACAATAGCAACACAACGAACACCTGGAGGAAGAAAAAGAGGAAAATAGGATCGATCGATCGATCGATAAAAGTAGTTGGTATTGAAGAAGGATGAGAACGATTCCTGGAGCTCATTGAGCACAAGCAGTTGTGAGGAGAGTGGTGAAGCGAGCAGCGATCGCTGGCTCAACTTTACATCCTTCGCCGAGATATACCGCCGCCACACGTGCGCCTCGACGCTCGCGATCTCGCGCGCTATTTCGCATCACCGATGCGACGTTTCAGCTGCCACGACCGACGCTGCTTCTGACCGCCAGACGCCTACGTTGCCGGTGCGGCAGCGATGAACCGCCGACGAGAATGAGGTGGTGCAAGAGGGGGGAAAATCAAAAGAAAACGAGCACCAAACTGTTGGACGTGATGAAATCGACCATCGTTTTTCTTTTTCTATTGTTGAGCATGAGGTGGCCTCGAGGTGAGCATCATCGAACCATACGAAGGGGGGGGGCAATATTCAATAAGGTTCGACGTGGTTTAATAATTTTATATTTATTTCAAAAATTTTGGATGTTGAGCTCAAAAATATTGCACAAATTTGTGTTTCGCAACAATCATTTCATAATTCGTAGGTCCCATAATAACCTGATGGTTGGCTCTTTTTTTTTGACAATCAATTTCCTAGCGATGCCGGAGACGCAGCGAAAACCCGCCCCATCAATATTTTTGCCCTCCGCATGCGAACACTGATATTACACAGAAAAACAACAACACAAATCCGAAGCCGATCAAGATGGAGGCCGACGATGAGGAATAAAACAATACAAAAAATCAAAGCGAATGGATTGGAGTGGAATGGAGGAGGAGGAGGACGAGGAGGACGAGGGAATAAAAAAGGTCAATACACACTACCATGTAGATAGATTACCGAAAATAAACAAAAAAAAAACGCTTCGAGCGGCAAATAAATCGACTTTTTTGGGATTGCGACAGGCGGATATAAATCAAAGCGAAAAACTATTAGAATCTAGAATTTTTAGGCCACCCCCTCCCATAATGCTTATTTGGAGTAGAGCAAAAAAAAAGAATGTATACCAAATGCGCATGAATGAAACCGAACTCCCTCGCCCGATACTTGTGCTCGCTTTCACCTCCCCCTTCCATCAATAAGTTATTTAGTTATGTTTGCGGTTCTTTTGAGTGAGTGTGGGAACTACTTAGAACCCCATTTCCGCAAATGTTTGACACCTTTCTATCAACACAACGAATGAATTGGGGAGACGGCAGCCCGGATTCCGGCGAAAACGGGTGATTAAATGAAACACGAATCGATTTCCTAATTGAGAATTTGTAATATAACAACCCATAACCTGCCGGTGAAATGAATAAGATGAAAACGAAAACAGTAGGATGTTCAAATATGGAATTGGAATGAGACGACACTGAAAGAAACGAACACGGTGATTTTCTGTTTTTTTTCTGATTTTGATACACTTGTCATTGGGCGTGTTTTTCAATGGAATTCATGTGTCAAACTCGCGCACTCAAGAATGCAAATTCATTCTTTTCAGCATGGGTAATGGTTTGGCGAACGACCGGATTCTTGCAAATTGGTGTGAAGTCACTGCATTTTGAATCGTTGTTATTCATTGCACAATTATTTTTTTAACAATTCACATCTGCGGACAAATTCCAGGATGTGGAAAATCATTTTATTTTAGATATTCGCGTTTTTTTTTTCAGAATGAAATTGCAACAAATTGAAAGAGAAAGCGTGACGAATGATGATCTACGCATTTCGCTTTGCGAAACCGCAAAAAACTCGAGTGTAACAACGGCGATAACCCAGATAAACATGAACGCGCAATTAAGTAAGTGTATACCATATATGGTATAAGTAAGACATACATAACGGAATGCATAGTCAAGTTTGAAACATATGCGAAATTGGGTGTGGCGGCGACGTCGACCCCAAGGATGATGCCAAATTAAAGGTTGGACGAGGGACAACGCGAGGAGGTGAGACGCAGACAATTTGATTGAGGCCGTCATGAGATAAGTTCGAAAACGAATGATGATTTGATTTTGTCGGTTCGGGGAAGCGGGGGGGGAAGAGGGGTGGCCGAAAATGAGCCGAGATATTGAGACATCGTTTTGAAAGAAATCCAGACGGCAAAAAGTTGAGAGCGAATCCCCAACGGGGGAGTTGAATTTGGGATGGTGGTAGGAAGCGGGGGGGGGGGCAGTGCTGCGAGAAACACACACGAAAAAAATCGAGCGACGCACACATATGGCCAATACCCCCCCCCCCCCGATTTATGGAGCGAAAATTAGCGGCGGTCGTCGAGGAAATTATGAATTGGTTTTCGGTTACTACTCGCCTTCAACCCTCAATTCTCGGTTCGTCGTCAGCGATCGTTGATTTAGATAGACATTGCCATTTTTGGGACACCGCGGTGCGCAATGAATTGGCAAATGGCAACCGGATGTTTTTCGTCGACAAATGTCAAAATTTGAATGGGACCAAAACAATATTGTTGCTAATAAACAATAATAAGAGAAACTGAATATGATATGAGTAGGAATAATTCTAATTTTAGTTCTAAAAAAGAGCGAATTCTGAATGTATACCCTAAAGCTATAATAAATAGTAAAGCGCTGAGAGCTTTTCAGAAGCTTTTTGACAACCGACGAAGAAAATCATAAAACCAAACCATGGCATGAATTTTTGTTACACAATGCCAACGTCATTTCATTAATGACAATCATCCGAATCCTTGCGATCAATTGAATAACCTTTGATCGATTTAATAATGTTAATCAGCAATTATGGATTGTATAATTGTTTCTATGCGAATATTCAGTCGCCAATTAAATTTTTATAATAAATTCACGTACCAATTCAATTAAATCGATTTTTAGTAATAATTCACGTCGATTAAAGCATCATTATTTAATTTTGATTTTTCGAAAATCTCATCATTTCTACATGCAATATTTAGCAGAGTTGGACGTAAATGTGTGTAAGTCGTTCATATTTTTGTCGTCTCATTTATTCAATTTCTAGTTTTGCTGATAATTCTGTTGCCGTTTTCACTATATATTCTATCGATGTCCTGTTCAAAAAGTTCGTCTCAAAACGAGGTAATCGCCGTCGGAATTCATTCGAACAGCTAGTTTTTTTTTGCAGAAACCAAAGTCGGTGTTGAAAAATGTTGAGCAATCTAACATTAATCAAAAGAAACTGTATTTTTTTAAGCGGAAAAAAACTAAAAAACGTAATTTTTATAGGAAGTCGATAGAGCCCGAGTTTTTTGCTCTTCCTAGTAAGATTTTTTAAAGCCAAATTTGAGGCGACAAAAATTGGTGAAATTCATTTAGATGAGGTTCATAAGCCGGTTGAAGACGCCGTCGCTGAAAATATTATAATCAATCCAAAAAAGGCGAAATTCGCTGGAAATATTGACAATAAAATGAAAGCGGTGCGAATTTTCGAATGGATTTGAAATCATTCTCAATTTTAGAAGAAAGTTAGCAGTCAATTGGATGATGAATTACGAAAAGCAATGGAAGAAAAAGCATCGAATACAAATATACCAGCGAATAATAAGAGATTAAGGGTAAGAAATGAGCATCTCAAAAAATGCGCAGAATTAAAACGACAGGTCAAAATCAAAGAATCTAAATGCAAAGTTTATGCAACGAACGACGAATCGACCGAGGAGGAGCAAAGTGTTAATGAAAAACGAAAAGTTTCTACTTAGCTAACAACATGTGCTAATAATGTTTATAAAGCCATTTATTAATTTTTGACGCACTATAAACATTTTGGGTTTCTTCATCACCAACGTTGGGTGTATAAAACAAACATTTATTGATTCAAGATTTCAACAGTCAAAATAAGAAATACAACTAAAAATTATGGCTTCAATTGAACCATCGTCGCCAATTGCCATTCCAGATCAACATATGTGAAATTCCAAACATCGGGTTGTCCAAAATGTCGGACGTTTGTGATGTTGGTATGGTTCCAGCTAAATTGGGGTGAAATCGATAAAATGGTGGGAAGCGAATTTTCTTACTCAAAAACAGGAAGCGGGTCGTAGGTTGGTCCACCCCAGGCTCGGAATCTCAACTTTTTGAACATCTCGTAATTGGTTCCCTTGAAATCTAATCCCGAGTGATCTCTGAATCCCATTGACTCGACTTCATAGGTGCCTCCGGGTGTGTTCAAATCACCTCTTGCCGAAATGCCACCTTCTGCTGTATATGGCAATGGTGTGCAATTGCATCTAGCGAATTCATCATGAGTATAGTCATTGTATCTCATTAGCTTTGTGAGGGAATCCATATCAGTGACTTTATGATGGTCACGATCAAAGATTCGTGCTCTTGGCGAACCTCCCCATTCGTACCACTTGAATTGACGAGCCTAATTCTCAACAATAACACAATTTTCATTATTTTCAATACAATACCTTATCATCGAATCCAGAAATTTCGCTAACTTTGGTCAAATATGGGATATTGTATGATGGGAAATAAGAGAATCGCTTCAAATACCACGTCATATCCGCCGATTCCACATATCCTCTTAAAACAAAATATTATACTAAATCCATTGAATAATCATACGGTGTTTGCTCGAGAATCCAAACGACATCCTTATCAGGAAGATCTTTTTCCGGAGTGAAATGTTTATAATCGAGCACAGTCCACTGATTATTATAGGTCCCCGAATTGTATCTTCCGAATATATCAACCCATTGTTTTCCAGATCTATAATATTAGAACAAATTATATTCTTATCACGGAACTACTATATTTACTTGGAAAGAGCATTCGAGATGAATGATCGAACCCAACAATGGATTTGGCCTTGTGGTTTCATAAATCTTGAAGTGTAAAGAGTTGTGTTGAAGATGGCTATCGTAGTTTCAATGGAGACCTGCGAGAGCAAAAAAAATATATTAATTAATTTTTAGAATTTTATAAAATTACAAGGCCTCCAGAAGTCAACGTATAGTCATCAGATGAGATGAGTGCACCAGGATAACCAGAGAATGAAACAATATGGCCAGGAACTTCGTTGACATCTGCAAATCAATTGAACCATTCGTCTAGATCGATGAATCATACCATATCCGAATTTGTAGATCTTGAGAATTCTCTGCATCCAACTGAGACTCGACATCGAAACGTGCGAAATGAACAAATCCTTGTTTCCCGGCGCCAATTTGATGAATCCCGAGCAATGTCCCGCATCTGGATATTCGAGCGGATCTGGCGTCTTATTCAGGAATTTGTTCAAATCGAACATGTCACCGGCGAGTTGCATCATGCTGAATTAGTTCAATATTAGGTATTCGATTGATTTGATGATACTAGATTGGATGAAGATCGAATCCGATCTCGGGTGTTAGATTACGCTTCATGTAAGCATCGTAAATTCCAGTGAGCTGAGCAAATGTCAAGTTGACGTGACGCCAATATGGGTCAGTCGGCGGATGAGCTTGAACTTGACTACGCATCCAATCGAGATTCTTTTGCAAATAAATGTAGAGCTTCTTGCAGAAAATCCTAAGAGATAAATCCAGTACTATTTCAAACATTTGTCTATTTTACGTATGATTATTGCACATCGTTTCAATTGTGTTTCGATAATGGTAGTAAATTTGGAGGCGAGTGAGTTCCCCTGAATAAACCATTTCTCACTATTTCGAAAAACGATAATGTCAGACCTTCGGCAACGCCGGCAGCGTAGGCCTGGACATCGTAAGAGTGGCTGGCAAACGTCTCAATCTCCAAAATTCCCCATATGAAATTCTTAATTGCGAAACATCCAATTATTTGCTAACATACCCTGTTGTATTCACTTGGTTCGAATATTTTCCGAGAGCCACTCGCGATTTGGCGTCTTTGCACTCTTTATCGTGACTGAAGAATAGAAAATTAAAAAAAAATCGAGACAAAAAATGAAATATCAACTAAAATTCATCCAAACTCGAAAATTTTCAAAATATGAGAAATTTGTTTGAATTTTCGCCAAAATAACGGTGCTTGCGGACTTTCAATTTTTTTGTTAATAGATTTTTTCGCAAATACGCTCAATTTTTTTCGTCCTTGATATTGGTTTTTGAAAATATTTTTTTTCGGTAGGGCTTTTCGCAGAAAATTTGAATTTTTCTCAATTTTTTCAATCTAATGTCATACTACAATTAGAATCATAATTAATGTCGTATAAGCAGTTTCAACGGCCCATCGAATTTTTGGGGGGATTTCTGCGGTTCACCGAAACGCAATTATACACACATTCGCTAGATGCAACCGGCTGTCGCCAAAAAAGGTTCGGCCACGGCTCGCCGTAACGCACGTGTAGCCGAGAAAAATTGGTCGTCGCTTTCAAAAAGTAAAAGTGAAAGAAAATCATAAAATGTGGCCGTGGTTGAACCTAGTTTTTGTGAAATTTGTTTCTAGGCCACACATGCATGTCCGTCCAAGGCATTTCTCTTTTTTTTCGACCGAAAAGGCCGAAATATAAATGTTTGATCAAATTAAATACTTTACATCTCCAAAAATTTCAATTACATTCATTTCAAGAAAATTCATTTACTATCGCATTTTTTATTCGGCCGCAGAACGGCAAGCTTGAAAACCGCAAAATTGAAATACTCACATAATAGTAAGAAGCGTTTCATCAGTTTGATTGACACAAATCGACACGTACTCGTACTTGAATCTCCCAGAAGAATGATCATTTAGCACATCCTCGATTGGAATTCTCTGAAATGAGAAGGCACTTAAATCGATAAATAAATTGTTAAATTACATTATCGTCGAACTCATCGGCAAAACATGAGCCGACAACGAGTAACCCGACAAGCACGAGGAGTTTCATCCTAAAAAAAAAAACACAAAAACTAGTATGCGTCGTATCGCACAAAATTGTGGAAAAATGGAGTTCGGGTTATCATATCTAACAACGAATCATTGATAAGCGGGCCTCTTATATTCGTATATTCATTCTTATCTCATTTTTCAACAATTATCATCAATCGGGAGGTTGGGAAGCAATGTTGAATTACTGGACATGAAAAAAAATGATCGGTTAGATATTTTATTGAATGCAAATTCAAATTTCAACGGGATATTCGCCGGTTAAGCATGCCGTACAATGGCCGGATCGTTTCTCGATTCCTTTTTGAACCGCCTAAAAATCACCACAACTATTGTGTTGCCGAAATAATCAATTGGTGATTTACTTTGGTGAGTCCTTCGACACTCAGATATTGCACCGAATCAGCGCCAACAAAATCGCGAATCTGCTCGATCGATTTGCTCGCGGCAATCAGCTCATCTTTCGTCGGAATGTTGATGCCCATGAAGCACGGAAATTTCACCGGAGGCGATGCAATCCTTAGATGGACTTGTGCCGCACCGGAATCCTTCAACATGCGGACAAGAATCTTCATAGTATTTCCGCGAACAATCGAGTCATCGACAAGCACGATCGATTTGTTGTGCACTTTCTTCTTGAGAACCCCTATTAGAATATTTCTTTGTCATTAATTTTCAATTGTCGAAAATCAACCAAATTTGGTCATTATCGCGTGTTCCCTCATTTGAGGGCTCGGCTGAATGAATGATCGTCCGACATAGGTGTTGCGGTGGAGGCATGGCTCGTACGGGATCCCCGAAGCCGATGAATAGCCGATGGCAGCGCTCAGCGATGAATCTGGAACGTTGCCAACAATGTCAGCTCTCACCGAATCCTCGCAAGCCAATATTCGACCGCATTCTTCTCTGGATTCGCGATATTCGGTCGCAATGTTTCGAGTTCCCTTCAATTACCTGACCGTTTCGATTTGCTGTCCTTCAATGACCGAATCATTTCGCGCAAAATAGACGTACTCAAAGATGCACATCGCCTGCCGGTTTTGCGGCTTCATCTCAATTCGTTCTAGTTGAAATGTCGATGGCTCGTCATTCTACACTACCTGGCACACCGATCGAATCCCTTTCGCGCCGAGCTCCACAATTTCGCCCGGTTGAACTTCGAACTCGAATTTCGAGTTGGCCGGAAACGCGCAAGACTCAGATGCTGCGCAATAGGCAATGCTCGATGCTTGATTCATAATCGAACCAACGCAGAGCGGCCGATTCCCAAACGGGTCTCGAACCGCGTAAATTCGATCGTAGGTGAGAACGAGAAGCGAATACGACATATTCAGAGCAGACATTGTCACCGCAAGTTCCTGAAATTTCATTTTTTAGAAAAAAAAATTTTTTGCGAAACCTTTGATATGTCGCCGGGATCACTTTGGCATTTGACGTTCAACGCGATCGCCTTGGCAATCATTTGCGCAATGAGCTCCGAGTCGGTGTCCGTCGAGAGTCCGACGCCTTCTTGCATCAGCTCGATCCGCTTTTTCGAGGCATCGACGAGTTCTCCATTATGAGCAATCGCGATGATTCCTCTCGCTGTGTATACCACGAATGGTTGCACACAATTGATTCCCGACTTCTTCTTTCCCGCTGTTGAATACCGATTGTGACCGATCACCAATCGGCATTCATTCAGCTTCTGAATCGCTTCTTCTTTGAGCACATCTCTTACTAATCCATGCCCTTTCACAATTTCCACATGCTCGCGACATTTTCCATCCGAGCCCACAATGCCCGTCGATTCGGTGCCGCTGCAAAATGGTGTTGTCTGTGGAATAAGGTCGCAAATCATTCTTGAATTCATGACCAAACAATCCAGACGGTTTGGTTTCTGTCAATAAAGCTTGGCCGTGCGCACCAGGTCGCAAGGACAATTGAACATTGACATGGAGTCGAAATCGCGAACTATAGCGCATGAAGAAGAGAAACTATCACCTTCACTACGAGGCCTCACATGTGTACCTCTTGCAAGAGGTGAGAGAGTGTGAACGATAGAGGAGTCTGGAGTGTGTTGAAAGGTAAAAAGAAGTGTCGAGGACCAGATTGTATTGAAACCTTGAACGATTTCAACATCAATCCGGCAATCTGTTCATTTTGCGTCGTTAATTGCTGAACCGCCGCTGATTGAGAATCAACGGCGATTGGATGAATGACGCGCGGGTCGGTCGCGAGTTCGTGGTCGTTCGCGACAAAATCGCACGGCATTGCCACTGCACTACGGCACCCCCCACAGCTAGCGTGTTATCTGTCATATACCCATGTTCTCACAAAAACTTACCGATGCTGAAGAGCGGCGAGCCCATTGACGGCAACAAAAGGCAAATTCCAGACGGATGTATCGTTTTCAGAGCGAATTAGCCCAAAAATACCACACATTTTCGAAAATCAATCGCAATTGATAAGAGAAAAGAGGAATATTGAAGTCGCAAAAGGACAACACAAGGACTCATACTGCAAAGAATTAAAATTTGAATTTTTCATTTTCGCAACGGAAACAATTCTTTTTTTTTGTTGACTTTTCGAATTGTCCTGATGTTAGCAAAATGTGTTACTTTTTCATTACTAACTCGCCCACACGAACACTCCAATCAGCAAAACGTATTTCGAGAGAACCCATTTGTTTGTCGTCGAAAAACTCAAACAAAAACGCCCCGGTGTGGATGGGATCGCGATCGGATCGTGCGGCTAACATCTATCAATTTTTTGACACTGCGCGAGAGTCCGTTTCAAAAAAATGAAGGTGCGTTTATTATTTTTTTAGAATTTTCGAGAATAACGTGTAGAAAATCGTTTATATGCATCGCTTTTCAAGATTCTCAAGATAAAATTTCATTTATGAGTCTCAGAAAGTAGGCGATTATGTCAATGTAATCTGATTAGTCTATTTCGCGTATTTTCAATATATTTTTTGTCTTCAAATTTTCGAGAAAATTTCTTTAAAAAAACCGTTTCGAGTTCCAGCTATTGATTTTTTTCGAGCGTCATCTGCTCATTTTGAGCCGAAAAAAATGCCGACAGTGTAAAAATTTCATCTTCATCTCTAAACGCTCTTTAAACGCAAAAAAGACGAACTCGTGATGAAAAGATACAACTTATCTTTTCGTGATTTTTTGCGAAACAATTTCGATTCGTTTCAGGACCAACTCATCGATATGTCAGCAAGTGATACGATTCGCAAATTCAACGCGGTCGCGCAACGAAACGAGGAAAACTTGAAAAAGTTGGTGTCGTTTTTTTTTCTATAAAAAATTCGATTCAATTTAATACAAATACCATTTTTTTCAAATAGGAATCCATATTCGGAAAGTTACACAATTCAAGAATTCGGTTCGCGCGATTACGGAAGACCACCACCGGGAAGCAAAACTGAAGCGAGAGGCATCAAGGTATCCTCAATGTCCTCATCATTTATTGAATATAACAACCAAATTTCGAGGCCGGTGTTCATGTTTGTCGCGAAATTCTCTACCTTTGCGAGATAATCGATCAAAACGCCGAAGGCGAAGAGCCGCACAAATGGATTAAATTCGGCCGACTTTTCTATATTTATTCGTTCTATTCCGACAAATTGGTCGGCATGCTGATTCGCGCAAGAAAATACGGACTATTGCATTTTGAAGGCGAAATGCTTTATCAGCGACAAGATGATGAAAAGGTCGGTTCATCGATTTTCAATTCTCGAAATCCGATTTAGATTATCACAATGCTGATGCCAATGTCGGAAATTCGCGAAAGTTTGCGCGCATCTGGAGATCCTGCAAAATGTGTGGAAATTCGAAGGTTCACTCATTTCCAGAAATGAAAAATGACCGCCGCCGGCGTCTTTCAGAACATCCAACACTTCCACAACATTCGTTCCACCGAAAGAGCAAACTCCGGAAAAGCCGAAACCAAAAAATTCGGCATCAATTGTCTTATCAAAACAGTACGTGTTGAGATGTCATACGGGGGAAAATATTTGCAAAGTTTTGCAGAAAATTCGAAAATGTCACCCTTCCCGACAATCTTCCTCCTTCGAAGCCGAAAAAGCCATGGAGCCGCCCAACCAACACTTCAGAAGCGCCAGTATTTTGCACCTAAAAATTTGCCATTCTCTTCGCCCAATTCAAAACCGGTCATAAATTTCTCAATTTATTCCGAGTTTGATTCGCAATCGTACAAATATAAACGAAATACACAGTGAGCACATAATTAGATTATTAGGATTATTGAGGTTAACGGGATGACGGACAAACTTTCAAATTTGATTTGAGATCCATACACGATTGTGAGCATGTGTGTACAATTGAAGACACTTGATTATGGCAGATTGATTGATCCGCATCCGTACATGTAGAAGCTGTCGGCATCGAGCTTTGAAGCAGCTTTGACTCTGTCTGGCGACGTCAAAAATTTGAACTGCGCAAAAATGTCTGAAAATGAAAAAAATTAACAAAACTAATTAATCTAATTAGGATACCTTTCTTATTAATTAGATCAGTGGATGGTGCGATCAATGCGAATGAGAAGAAATGACGAGCCGATTCAAAAATGCCGGCCGGTGAAGCTCCAGTCGGGGTATTCTTGGATGGAGAACTCGCCATGTCTGAACAATAATTATAAGCAATGATTAAAGTACGTACAAGCGATTAAATAGTACACAATCTATCGTATTTTTGACATTGATCGGTTAACGAATGATAAACATTTTCCTACAGATGTGGGAACAAATCAAAACAATTAGTCAAAACATTAACTACAAAAAATGATAAACATGAGAGACAAAATGGCTGCCCAACAGCCAAAATAAAAAGAAAATGTAAGCGTCAAGCGGATTTTGCGAGTATTATTATATTTTGAATGCGAGTTCATTAAGAACCCTAGAAAAAACTCAATTAACAATCAAAAGTGTGATACCAAGGAGGATGTGGAATATGAGAAATGCAGTAATAGCGAAGAAACAAATGTTTAAACCAATATATATGTATCAACAGTATCGGCTGCAATATTGTTCTGCTGTTTTCTCAAAAACTTTGACGGGTGCAAATGCTTAAAGAACGACCAAGTTTACAGTAGAATTGCACGAGATCAACGCGAACGCTTTTTTTCACACGGAACAAAACAACATATTAAAAAAGTGGGCGAAATTCTAAAGAAGAAAATGAAAAGAGCGATTTGTTTTTATGTGACGTAGAAGCGGATGTAATTATAGAGAACGAAAGAGGGAGAAAGAAATAAAAAAAAGCATCAGTAGAGCGAAACACTGGAAAATGCTCGAGCGAATGTGCGCAACGGCACGTACGATGCACATCTGGCGTGAGGGTCATTTGCGGACGAGACACCAATGTCTACACCAATATGAAAGTGGGGTGAGCGGAGTGACTCAAGTCTCTTGTGTTGCCGCCAGGAAATGGGTTCCCCAATTTGTCGGTCAAACACATATGCGACCAAAATACACACAGCTTAATATAACTTGAACCTAAAATGTATAGAAATGGCGAAAGGGATTGAAAACTTTGAAAAATTATGAAACTATTCATGAAATACAAATTATTACATTTTAAGCGCATTTGTTATTAATGCATTGGAAAAATTGTATTTTTCGTCACTGATCAAAAATAAATTCGAAAATCATGTATTCAATCTCCGGGCAATTTTTTTGACAAAATAAACTACAGTATTCGTTTCACTTCGAAACACTTGAATAAATGATATGTGCACCTTTAAACATTTACGGTAGAAATAAAATTAAAAGTTTTTTTTCGAACCCCATTCTCAATAAGCAATATTTTTGCACATTTTCTCAAAGTTTCAATAACATTTTCTCATTTTTAAGTCAAGACAGTTTAAAAACATAAGGGAAAATAAATAGATAAAAATACAATTATATTTATTGACAGTTGAATATAAACAGATAATAAATTATTCAAACAGAGTTCGGTTAATTAAATTATTTTAAAAGCACATTTTAAATATATATGTAGAAAAAAAAACACATATGATTGTTGAAAATTTCGAAGAAAAATGAAATTTAAAAAAAAATGGAATCACACTTGTTCCTCGTTAAATGATCACGAGAACATTACGTGGTCCAACGAGCAGCTGTTGGAGTTTTTGACGTAATCGGGTCAGAATTCAAAAATACAAATCATACATAATCTCAAGTTTGCCCAGAGTTGCTTGGATCATTTCTTTAATATCTTCTAATCGTTGCTGCTGGTTGGAAGTTAATTCAACAAGTTCGGTGAAGTCCTTCAAGTTTGCCATTTCGGCTTCACCGTGAGACGTGATTTCGGCTTTTAATCTCGCTCCATCAGGAGTACTAAGAGTCTCTTTGAGCGGAATCGAATGCTCCATCTGAAAACAAGAAAATGCGCATCGACCAAGATTGACTTATTTCTCACATAATGTTCGAGAAGCACCATTTTTTCTTCAACTGATCGTTGTAATACTTTTTCTGGAACTGTTGCCCTCTTTTCAGCCAATGTTGCTTGCAAATCATCAATAATCACTTCTTGGTCGGCAAGATTATCGCTCAAATTTTTGATTTCTGAAAAAACACAAAACATAATCGATTTTTAATTATAAAACCTACTTTCTTTGTATTCTGCTCGCGCTGCAGCTTTCGTTTTGCTAGTAGATTCCATTTTTGCTGAAATAGAGCTAATGAAATTAAAATTTAAGCGAAAAATACAACGAAAATGTTTTGTACGTTTCAAACCGCCGCCAAACTAAAACGAAGGCGATTCGCGTAATATATGGAGCGTCGTTGGGTAATTGCAATCGCTGTTTAGTAATTTCATTTATTGCGAAATTGGATAAAAATGGTATGTTCAAATTATAAAAAAATTAATTAATTAATTAAAACAATTTAGTCATTCGCCGGACTATTGGATTTTGCTCGGAAAGACATTGATATTCCAGCAAATGCACCCAAAGCTTTATTAAAAGATTTGCATTCAAGTTTTATTCACAAATATGAAGCGGACAAGAATAGCTATGTAATATCCAAACAAAATATTTATTTTTATAATTAATATAATTATGATTTAAGACGTATATAATGACTGAACACTTGCGAGTTAGCGGAATTTACTGGTGTGTGAATGCGATGGACCTTCTAAGAGATCTTGATAAAATGTCTAAAGAGGAAATCGTGAAATACGTGTTGGAATGCGAAAATAGCGACGGTGGATATGGGCCGGCTCAGGGACATGATAGTCATATACTACATACACTTTGTGCTATTCAAATTTTGATAATTTTCGATAGTTTGGATAAAGCGAATTTCGACCGGATTGCCAAATATGTAAAAAGTCTACAAAATGAAGACGGAAGTTTCAAAGGAGATAGTTCTGGTATTTATTTTCTGATTTTTTTTAAATATAAAAATCCAATTCGTTTTTAGGTGAAGTTGATACACGGTTTACCATGTGTTCTCTTGCCACGTGCCATTTCATTGATCGTCTCGATGTGCTTGACGTAGACGCCGCGATTCGTTTCATTATGCAATGCTACAACACTGATGGAGGATTTGGAACACGACCAGGTTCAGAGAGCCACTCTGGCCAGGTTTATTGTTGTATTGGAAGCTTGGCTATTGCTGGAAGACTGGAGGATATCGACAGGTTCAGGACGGCAGAATGGCTAGCTTTCAGACAATGTGACAGTGGCGGTTTGAACGGTTCGTCAATGAAATATGATATACAATTTTCAACTAAACCGAATTCTAGGCCGACCCGAAAAGCTTCCCGATGTCTGTTATTCGTGGTGGGTGCTCGCCTCATTATCAATTCTCGGATGTCTAGATTTCATCGATGAGAACAAAATGAAAAACTTCATTTTCGCCTGTCAAGACGACGAAACCGGAGGGTTCGCAGATCGACCTGGAGATTGCGTAAGTAACTAAAGAAAACTTTACGGGCAAGCAAGATAACACGAGAATTATTTGAATGGGTTAAAATCATTCGCGCAATGTTCCTTCAATAACTGCGAGCTGTACGAGCTGATTCTTCTTGATCGTATCATTCGGGTTTCGGAGAAGTTGCTCAATGCGCTCTCTCGCTGGTTGTATCTTCTCATCAGCGGCTTGCTGAGTGGCGCCTCGAGCTGTTATCAAGACATGAAGGTTTTCTTCGAGATGGGACCATCCCGGTCGACCGCGCAGTTTCTTTTCCTTATCATCGTCCCTCATACATCCTAAAGAATAGACGAATGGTTTTTAATCAGTTTAATCAAGCAGATGAACACCGTTAAAAGCGCTCATAAAATACCTTTTCCCCTAATGAAAAGACTGCAGTTGAAATCCTTTTCCAATTGTCGAATCGTCATTCCACGTGGTCCGATGATTCGTCCGACAAGATTCGAATTCTTCTCATCTTCTTCTGGGAAGAATACCTTCGCTGTCGCCTCATACTTCTCATCAAGCGTCGAAGAATTTGCCGGAGGAGATTTTGGTGGAATGTAGGCGCGAGGAGAAGGTGTGCGAATGTCTCCAGAATCTCTTAGACGAAAAACTGGCGAACCAGGGATATCAGTCCAAAATAAACTTTCAATAATCATAAAAATATTGTTATGTTTACCGAAGAAAGATTGGTCAACGCTGTTTCGGAATTTCGCTGAGATGGAGACGTTGAAGAAGAATCCGGTGATAATTCGAGAGCCCAAACCCTCTGGATTTCTCGCAGAAGCAAGGTCTATAAAAAAATCTCCATGCGAATTTAAAATTTTTTTAATGATACGTAGGCATTTTTGAAGCTAGCGCTGTTCGTTTTCTCATAAACCGATGTCATTGTCTGCAGCTCTTGCATAAGTTCTTGAAGATATCTGACAATTATAGAAAAAAATGACCTGTTTTTTTTTTTGAAAAAAAAAAAGATTGACCTTTACCTCATATTACGTGCCGAGTCAGTTGAGCGTGCAGGCGGTGATGCTGCATTCTGGGTAGTTGAAATAGTTGTCGTGGTGGTAGTAGTAGTAGCATTATTGTTATCATTATTCTCGAGATCGCTCATTTCGAATAAGAGGCCAATTGTCGGATTTTCTGTGTTAATAGTGTCGACGAATAATTTTTGCCGGTTTGAAAAGGCGAAAACAAGTGTCACGTTTTCTTTTTTTGATAAAAATCGCCGGGTTTTTCCAATTTTTGCATTTTATTAGCAAATTGACAAAATATATTTGCGTTTCAATTAATTCATTTTCAGGCCGATCCATTCCACACCGTATTTGGCATCGCTGCACTTTCGCTATTCGGCGATGAGTCTTTGGAGCCGGTCGATCCGGTGTTCTGCATGACGAAACGATGCCTCAAAGACAAACAACTTCCAATATATTAAATTTAAAATTTTCCTATTTAATTTCTAATGAACGTTTGTTCGCAAAGTGGTCCGTAAATTGGCGGTTGCGCGGTGCGCGTTGAAATTGAACAAAAAAAACGGCGAAGGATGGCCATTCCCCATCCTCCCACACCAAGCACACTCACACAAATGCTTTCTCTCCGTTTTTCGGCAACCAAGTCAGAAGCAATTTGAGCCGACGCATGCTCATCGTCGTCCTCAACTGGTTGTCATCTTCAATTTACCCACTCACCGCGCTGTATATTCTTAATGCGTTTCCTAATATTCATTCTCATATTTTCGAGAATTACAGAGACATCGAAAAAATTTCCGCTAAGTGGGTTGAAATATGTATTTGGGAAAAGAAAAACGACTAGTTATTATTATGTGCAACAATTTTTGAATTTAAGGGGCTTTTGTCGATTCGTCGGACACTGATAATGCGACAGCGCACGCAATCATTGAGGTAATTTTTTTGGAAGGCAACAACAAAAAAATGCAATTTCCGCTTCCAAAAACGTCACTAAAATTCTTCATTTTTTTTCCAAGATGCTCCGACTCGCCGAAATGACATTCAATGGGCGCGGCGATGTGGATTTTGATGTACTTTTGGGTACGAGAGATCTTCCGCCGATGGAGAGAGCAACTCTTATGTGGAATCTCAACCGAATCGGTAAACATTCTGTTCGAATTTTCGAGAAACGCGGGAAATATTTAACGAAATTTTCGTAGACTTGAGATTCTTTTTTTTTTTTAGTTTGCGATGAGATGAAGCTCGGATTTATGCTAATGTTAGCCGGAACAAATTTCAAAAATTATGGAATCTATGAGGATATTTCAAACCAAATGCAGGTTAGATGTATTCTGGAACATTTTGGGGGAAAAAACTAAAAAAAAAACCAGATCGTTTTTCTTGAAATTGGGGTTTTTTGTTCGAAATCTACATACAGGGTGTCATTTAAGTTCCCGCACAAAAGTTTGACGTCATGAAGAGCTTGGCTGTCGCACTTTTCGTGAAACAATACAATTTATTTTTGTTAAATAAGGTATATTTTACTTATTTTCCAAGTTTCACTTCATTCGGATGTGTTTCCGAGAAATGGCGAAGGCTAACATCCATCGCGCTTCCATTATCGAACTTCATAAGCAAAATGTGAGCCCGAGAGCCATCATTCAACGCCTCGGTGTGCCTCGTAGAACGCTTTACGACACCTTCAAACGTTTCAAGGAGCTAAATACGACCAGTGACCGTCTCAGACAAGGAAGACCCGTCTCGGTAACCACTCCTCAGAAGATCAACGCCGTCAAATCGAGGATCAGGCGAAACCCCTACAGGAGCATGAGAAAGATGGCGTCAGACGTGGGAATGAGCATCTTCGCTTTGGAACAAATCGTCAAAACGAAGCTTGTACTGACCCCATATCGTGTCCAAAAAGCGGCAATTCTATCGGCCGTCAACAAGCAGAGACGCTTCGAAAAAGCAAAACGACTTCTTGCGCGCACGCGGTCTGGAGAACACCTCGTCACTGTCTTCTCCGACGAGAAGCTATTCACTATGGAGACGGCATTCTACTCACAAAACCATTGAGTACTTGCCCAGACATCCCAGCAAGCTTCTGAGAAAGGAAGAACAATTAATCGAGCCTCACATCCTGCCAGTGTGATGGTTTTCGGTGCCATCTGCTCAACCGGGAGGTGCCCCCTGGATTTCGTGGATCAGGGGGTGAAAATGAACAAAGAAGTCTACGTTTGGGACATTTTAAAGAAGCATGTGATGCCCTGGACTCAAACGCATTTCGGTGGGCAGAAATGGGTCATTCAACAGGACAGAGCACCCGCCCACAATGCCAAAACTACTCAGGAGTGGTGCCAGACCCATTTTCCCGACTTCATCAAGTCATCCGAATGGCCTGCTTGCTCCCCAGACCTGAACCCGCTTGACTTCTCCGTGTGGGGTCTTGCAGGAGAAGGTCAACGCAAAACCCCACTAAAGTGTAGAGGCTCTGAAGAAGACATTACTGGCGGCATGGCACAATCTTTCCATCGAATTCCTGCGTACCACAGTCGCATCCTACCCGAAGCGTCTCTGTGAAGTCATAGCTCCGAAAGAAGGTCGAATCGAAAAGAGTTAATATAAAATTATTTGTTATACTATAGATAAAAAATATTTCAAGTCTCGTTTGATTTGGACTTTTAGTCTCAGAAATATACGTCTTCAAAGTTGTGCGGGAACTTAAATGACACCCTGTATTTAGTATCATTATTCAATGTTGAGATGCCTTTGATTGATTGGGAATCGTCAAAAGCCAATGTCGCCGATGGCACTTCCATGATATTTTCTGTGCGACCTCCCAGCGAGGAATTGCTCGTCGATTATATTCGGTATAAAGGTTGGCGGGAATTTGTGTACATTCACGATGGACGGAATGGTATGAAGGAATCGGCGAATCTGATCGGCGGTGCTCTCGATTTTCAGCGCAAAGAATGTTGCGATCAATGTTCACATATTTGCACAAAACCTCGCCCGACTATCAATTATTTGTTAGCAATTTTCAAGCGCCATCCGATGAGGAAATGTTCAGGGAATTTCTCAACGATTTCCACAGGAGGTTGTCGGCGCAGAATGTTTCAAATCTAAATGAGAGTTCCGAAGAGATTGAAGATGAAGTGTAAGAATTGGAATACATCTAGAGAGAGAGAGATGAGAACTAAAATTTTTGAATTCCAGAAAAGTTAATGTGGTCATCGATTTGGAGGGAAGCTATCGAACAAAGGCATTTATCAGGGCATTAGAGGAAAGTATATTAGTGAAGAAGGAATACCATTATGTGTTTGCGAATTTTGTAAGAATTGTTCAACAATTGGCTGGAAAGAAAAAAATGTTTCAGGATGTTGATGAGAGCGATCTGAATGGATTTCACTTCTCGCTGATTAACATCACCATTTTCACAATATTCGATAAGAATAATAAAAAGCTTCAGTAAGGAATGTTTGATTTTGAAATATTCGACAAATGATGAATTAAAGGCAAAATCGCGAAGATTTCCACGAAATTTTCCGCGGCGGCTTTTCGAGCACCGAAAGTATTCCATCGGCGGCTGCATTCGCGCATGATGCAATCCTCGTTGCTGGAAACGCTATTCAAAAAGCCATCGAAATGCACGGAAAATCCATTTTCGACAAGGCGTTCGTGCGGCACCAGTTGTTCAATAAAGGAAGGAAAGGTTTGTTCTGTCGGCCTCATGAGGATCTCAGCGAGACCAATCGGCCATTCGAGACTTTCGAGCACGGGCACAAGTTGGCAAGAGTTATAAAAAAGGTATATCATGCTTCAAAGAATTGTTGAAAAAAAATAAAACAACTCGTTTTTAGGTTGTGCTCACCGAAGACGACGGAAGTTTGACCGGACGAATTCAGTTTGATCCGAAGACGGGAATGCGCACCAATTTCACAGCGTCAATTATCGAAATCAAACCGGGCGTTAATTCTTTGAATAGTATTTGGGAGGTATAGTATATCGTCCGTCCGGCGACTGTTGTAGATTTACGGGCATCTGCTCCTTTCTCCTGGTCTCGCACAGACTAACTGGTTTATTCGCATTTTTTAAAGCGATCAGACGTGGCGAGACCTTTTCAAGGCGCATGCGCGTAAATCAACAGCAGTCGTCGGACGCCGACATATGATTATTGAAAACAAGAAAGAGCATTGAGAAATTTGCAAGTTCAGCGTTTTCTGTGGTCGCAAGGCGCCGGCTTCCATATGGGCGGCGAGGTGCCGATTCGACACGAAGTCAAAAAGAATCCCAACGTTCTGCGAAAAGGAATTCTACCGTCAAAGCCATGGAAGTTGCGATTCAACGTGGTGACTGTATTGGTCAAACCGTTCGTAATGCTGAAGCGTCAGAATCGCGGAGATCCGGTTCTTCATGGAAATGATCGGTTCGAAGTTTCAGCAAAGCGTTCATAAAATTTCTTGAAATATTCAGATTCGAAGGATATTGTGTCGATTTGCTGAAATTGTTGGCGCAAAATATCACCGGATTTGAATATGATATATTTGTATCAGAGGGCAACAAGTGAGCCAGCTTCAATTTGTCTAGATGTTCGTGTATGTGATTTCGAATTTAGATATGGTGCTCGACAAGCTGACGGAAGCTGGGACGGAATGGTCGGATATTTGCTGAATGAAACCGCTGACGTCGCTGTCGCACCGCTGACAATCACACAGGAGCGAGAGAGAGCCGTCGATTTCTCGAAACCATTTATGACGACTGGCATTTCGATAATGATCAAGAAGCCGGAGAAACAAGAGTTCAACATTTTCTCGTTTATGGAGCCACTCGGAATGACAATTTGGATATTCACATTGTCGTCCTATTTTGGTGTCTCGCTCACTATTTTCATTGTTTCTTGGTTTTCGCCGTATGAGAAAAGGATTGAGTTCAAACGCGGCGAGTTCACGATCACCAACGAGTTCACACTGTACAATTCGCTGTGGTTCACATTGGCCGCGTTCATGCAGCAAGGAACTGATATTCTTCCAAGGCATGACAGATTTGATTTTCGATTCTTACGAGAAAAAAGACTTCAGAGCGATTTCCGGACGAATTGCATCTTCTTGCTGGTGGTTCTTCACATTGATCATCGTTTCGTCATACACTGCCAATCTTGCCGCGTTTCTAACTCTAGGTACCCTGAATAGACAATTCACTTTTTTTTGTTTTTAAGAACGAATGACACCTCCGATTGAAAGTGTCGAAGATTTGGCGAATCAGAACAAAATATTATATGGAGTGGTTGAAGGAGGATCAACTGCTGCCTTCTTCGAGGTACTCCTTTTCAGATAGTCAGGGGACAATAGTTCCTTGTAGTAACTCACAACCCCCGCTTCCACTATCTTCCCATAAAGTCATAGAATACTTTATTAGAATAAGATATGAATATGATAGTGGGTGGCGACCTACTGTTGTGTCTTTTGGAGCCAGCCGACTTATGAATACGTTTATTTTGACACAAACCCAAAACTAAAAGAGAACGTGAAAGCGTTCCCTATATAGCGCTCCTCTACCTTGATAAGGGCATCGCTCACACTATGTTGATTCTGGTCACAACTCCAAAACCATATGTAATGAATGTTGGTCCCAGCGTCGATGGGCGGAGTCTATCGGTCCACACGTAACAAGATAATTATCTTTTCCAATTAAGGACTCCATAGTGCCGTTGTATAAAAAGATGTGGAACTTCATGGTCACCACACATCAAAGGCAAACTGAACTTAAAAATAGCAATAGGTTCGCTTGTTCTTTTTTCTTTAATTGGCCTTTTAAACCAATTAAGTTCAGCACTTCATCGCCAGTGTTTGTTAGCTCATATGCAGAAGGAATTGACAAAGTGCGAACAAGCAAAGTATCTTTTTTGTTCATGCAGGAAACAAAAATTTGGAAAATTTAAAGGGAAAGTACGCATTTTTATTGGAGGAAACCACCAACAACTATGAGAGTGGGCGACGGCCATGCGATACAATGAAAATTGGGCAGAATCTCAACACTTTAGGCTACGGAATCGCTACCAAAATTGGTAATCCTTTAAGGTATTGTTTGAAACAAAATTGACACAAATTCGACAATTATTTGAGGGTATCTTTAAATCTCGCAATCCTCTATCTTCAAGAGAAGGGCGAGCTGAAAAAACTCGAAAATCGTTGGTGGTTCGATCGGGGTCAGTGCAATACGGCGGGCTCGGATGGCGGAAATAGTTCGAGTTTGAATTTATCAAAAGTTGCCGGTATTTTCTATATTCTTCTCGGCGGAATGGTCGTTTCAATGATAACCGCTCTCACCGAGTTTCTCATCAGAAAAAGCAAAGAAAATCGCGAGAAGGAAAAGGTTTATTGCAATTTTGCGAATACGAAATTGGTGTCGAAAACAAAATTTTTGTTTAGAATCGCCAACGACAAAGTCGCCAGAAATCGGCGTTGGCGGCGACGAAGCGACGCGCGAAAAGCGAAGAGCCTGCCACAAAATCGAGCTATTCAACACTTTTCTAATTGCTTTTGTGAAAAGCCATTTAAAATAAACGAGAAAAAAAAGAAATTGAAAATTTATCGCAAAAAAAATTAATTACAGTAGCGGGGTCTAAAGGCGCAGGACACTAAACAGGGTGGCTCCCACAACGCGAGAGTACGGTGCGGACATGGCGAGCTAAAGAAATAGGGAAAATCGCTTTTTAGCTTCCCCAAAACGCGTTTTGCCTATCAGATAAAGCAAAATTAAGTTTTTCGTGATGGAATGAAAAATATATTAATTTTATTTTATGTTGCCGAAGCTGGCTGCGTTTTTTGCTCGTCTCTGTATTGGCTCTTTTCAGCGACATTAATCGTTTCGGGCTTCAGAACTTCGAAGGAGACTTCTAAGCCTTCAGAAACGACGCATATTGCGGCCGAATTGTCGAATTGACCACAATAATTTGGCGCCGAAAATATTGTCTGAAACCTCCCGATTGAATGGTGCTCCGATTGAGCTTCGCCCTACCACTAATCTGCGTGATGCAAAAAACTCATAGCCATCCTGCACCACTTGATGCGCTCGAACAATCAAATCAATGTCGAGATCTTTGCATATCTGGTGAACGACGTCCTCGCCGAAGCACACGCTCGCCCCGCGAAGATTCGGTTTGAATCCCGATTGGCCGCTCATCGGGTCCGCCCATAAAAGGTCCATCTCCAAGCTGTCCGTCTGCGCCGTCGTCGGTGCATCGACTTCTCGCAAGTCGTCAAGACACGTCAAAAATTTGCTGAGGCCGCCATGCATGCATAAAATCCTGCGGCCGACGAGTCCAGTCAGCGGCATCATTTCCATCATTTCCTTCAATTGAAACCGCCCCCATTCGCTCATTAGACTGATTCGAATTTACCGTAAAATCATCATAAATGACCTCGCAATGCGCTGCTTTTCTACTAATTATCTCCTCCTTGAATCCATATATCGAATTGATGTGAGCACATTCATGATTGCCACGTAGCATGAAGAAGTTCTTCGGATATCGTACCTGTGAAGGATGACGGTGATCTAATAATGGATACAGAAGCACCTTATAAGCAAGACATAGTAATATCACTTCTAGACTATTTCGACCGCGATCCACATAATCGCCGAGAAATAAATAATTGGAATCCGGTGGGAATCCTCCCTAAAATCGCCGATTGCTCATTGGCATTCTTCATTTTTGAAAATCAATCACTTTTTCGAACAGCCTTATAAGGTCACAATATTGTCCGTGAGTGTCACCACAAATTCTCACAGGTCCGTCAATCTCAACCATTCGACCTTGAGTGGTGAACAGCTTGTTGGCAAGATCTGAAATGCTCCAGAATCATCAGAATCATGCGTTTCGAATCGATCACAAATGATCCTCAAGATTTCCATCGTCGTCACATGCTTCGTAAACCCTTTGCACGACAATATTTTCAGTAGGAATTGTTCGCAAAATTCCCCTAAAATATCATTGAATTGCCCTTATTTCAACTAATCATGGTTTTTTTTCCGTCGTTCGGTATCGATTCCATACGATTTGATGATTCTGAATAAGCGGCGAACTGGCAATTCCTATCCACTTTGCACGGCACCTCGTCTCTTTCCGAGACTATCGAGCTTGTCACTGTCTGCGGAATGGAATGGTGCTTCTCTTCATCGATCGAATCGATTCGAACCTCTTTACTCAATTTACTGTTTTTTGCGTTCGGCGACGTCATTATTGCAAGTTTTGAATGATAAACTATCGAAACGTTCTCGCTATCGAGTTCGCACCGATTAATATAATAGAAATGAGCCAATTCGGGTTCAATTCCAACACGTAACATACATTATTTTTTTTTTCGACATTTTTTGCTTGTTTGATATATTTCAAAATTGTTGGGAGACGAGGTTCTGATGGTTCCCATCTTGACTTCCATCATCCTTGTTAGAATATGAACATGAGGCAGAAGCCATATTCAAACTGCCAAAAAGGGTTAAGAGGTGGACGACATGACAAAAGGGGTCAACTTCGTCTAAAACTACGATCACATTTTGCCAATTTCCCTCGCGTGCGGCCTAGAAAAATTAGTCGATATTTTCAAAATACAAAAATGCGAGTGCGGCACACAAATTTCGAGAAAAACTGCAAGTAAGGCACACTGTCACAGGCTAATTTTTAAAATTATGTGTAATGCTTTTTTTAGTCGCCATTTTCTTTTATTTCTATGAAGTTGTAACTTTTGATATCTGATTTTTGAAATCGTAAACACGAAATATATATTTAGTTCTACTTAATTAAATTTTTTAAATCCATCAGGTGTGGCCGTGGCCGAACACAATTTTTGAAGACAAATTTTCTAGGTCATACGTGAGTTACAGCGAGCCTATATCGGAGATGATGCAATTTTTCATTTAAAAAAATGGAATTTTTGCAAATATCGAATCGAACTGTTTAAATATCAATAAAATTGGTCCCATTAGTCAAATTTAGCAGGTTTGGTATTAGCCGAAAATGACAGTTGGCAGCGACGCGGCAGGAATCAATATTGTTCTGTCGATGGGCGGAGTCTAAAGGTCCGCATGCAGCAAAATGAATGTGTTGATCTAATAACATTCTATTCAATTTATATACTAAAACATACGACTTAGATAAAATCGATTTATTAGACTAACAATTTCATTAATAATTATTACATACTAATTACACGTAATTATCCATTTAGATGATCAATATCAGTATCATTTTTCATCGTATAATCATGGGAATTATTAATAAGCACATTGTGCATTGTTTGAAGAACCGTTCTACAAAATCTGAAATTTTCAGATATTCGCCAAAAAATGGAAAAAATGAATTCGAAACAAACGTTTTTCGATGATTTTCACTTTTCGCGAATCCACTGAACTTGATCGGATGAATCGCGACGAGCGACGCATTGTAAAATTCAGGCCATTTGCCACGAGAGCCCCACAAATAGCTTTCAGTAAGCTCGCGAGACCTGAAAATTGTCAACGATATTCGAAGCAATAATGGCGCGCTCGTCGAGACGTTTGATGTCGAACCGAGCGCAAAAATCGATTAACAGCGAGCTCGAGAAATAATTGTTGCTCGTAGAATATCCGCATCAGTTTCGCATAGTAATCGCTTTGACCGGTCGGAACGTAATAGCTGAAATTGAGCATTCCAAATGGAAATACATATTGTCGAGAAGACGTGATGCTCACAAATCGGAAATACTTCGAGATTTCCCTTGAAGCAAATCGTCGAATGCCGTCATTGTTTGATTAATATATCCATATTTTCGAAGCTAGAATTATGTGATTCCATTGAATGAAAAAAAAAACATACGCCATCTTCATACTGCTTCCAAACTTTGAGAGTTTCCTCATCTCTCGTCTCATTTATAAACTTCACAATTCTTCGAGCTGCCGCCAATCCGAACTCGCCCGTCCACCAATTGTCTTCATTCAAATACGCAACACCGGTGAGATGAAAAACGCGATTGAAATCGAATTTCTGCCAAATGTTGAATGTCGCATCATCGGCCATCATCACATAGCCGCCGACATTCGCCAACATCATTTCTTTGACCAATGTCAGACAATGATAACCGAAATATCCGCGATGCATCTCGGCTGGATTCATGTGCACGTAGTTCAAAGGGCTCACGACACGCGGGAATCCGCTATCTGTAATTTCGAATTGCTCGAGGAACAGCAGCCAATTACAGCACCTGTCATGCTGTAATTTGTTGGATAATAGCTTCCACAAAAGATGGTTGTCGCGAAATATGGGGAATAAATTCGCTGAATCAAACCAATCGAAAATTTCCATTCAAAATTATTGACCACAATGAGCACCTTAAACCGATTGCCTTCAATTGATTTCTCGAAATTCTTACATTATTCAAATGTGTATTTAATATTGAGTGATTTGAATGCTGTCTGGCAAGCTGCTTCGGCGATGGCAAACTGTTGGTGAAACCTGAAATCGACGATTTTAATAATATAGAATTGAGTTTATAGAATATATACTATGATATTTGACTTCTTTGCACCAATCATCAATATCTCCCCAAAACTCAATTTTTTGTGCCGCTCGTTTTTCTGCCTAAATTTGCGTTCATTGATTCAAATACTCATATTTTCTCGAACCGCTTCATTCCGATTTTCCGGATTATCCAATGAGAACTCTATATTCATTCTTCGGCAAATGACATCTCTTGAAGACTCATTATTACTAACTTCGTATATTGAGTTATCCAAATTTAAAGGCGGAAACTCAAAACTAAATATTTGATATTAAATAATACTATTAATTATTGTACCCCATCATTTTAAGATCGTCAATCCATAGTGCGATCAAATCGGCATCTCCTTGTTTCCAAATCTCGAATTCGACAAACGTGTCGGCCAAATCGAGCATACATTGGAGAACAGTTGTCGAATTGCAAGTCCATTCGTCGATGAGCTTCACTATCTTGCCAGCGTCTTTGTAAACCTGATGCTCATCTATCAAGTCTTTCAAATAGTCATGCGCATTTCGGAATTGCACCGCATTGACCGGAGTGAATCCAACGGTCAAACCGGAAAGATGTAGAATTTTTTGCGCAAAATATGATCTCCAAATGTCGGTGGTCCTGCGACGAAAAAAGAAGTTAGATTTAAAGCAATTTTAGAAATGTCAAATACCTAAAAGAAACTGTCGTTGGTAGAAACATGGTGTGAAATGCCGATTTGTGGAACAGTGTGTTTTGCGAATTCCACGCCGAATAGGTTCCCGGCGACAGTGTGATCGGCGGCGCGAATTTGTTGAATCTCTCATCGAGCCCAGTTGCCGGATCGGCATTGATTAGTCTGATCAACAAAATGAAACTCGCGAGTTTCGCGCGCCAACCTGTAAATCGCGTCGACATCTGGATCGTGATGGACTAATCCCTGCTGCACCGACGGCCGCGGAATCCGATAGCACAACGCCAGCCTATCATTGCCATTCGTGTGCGTTTTGATATGCTCCAATGGGAACCCTCTCGGCCACATTTTCTCTAATCCGAAGAATCGATAAGGATTGAAAATGCGTTGGCTGAAATTCCGGTCGATTGCCCAAAAATGGATGAAACGAGCCATCAACCTGATGTTTGTGCTTTTCGTATAATAGACGACCCCGGAAATTTCGGTGTTATACTGGAATTGATCCAATCCAAGATCTGAAATTCATAAGTTCCAAACAAACAATTCCCCAAAATGATCCATACTATATGGCTTGTTATCATCATCAGTGTCATAGATCCATTCAGCCCCGTTCGATATTGCATAAAGGTATCCAATATTTTTTCGCGTGTATGACTTATAAGGAAGTTTGGAAACAATCGAGAAGTCTGAATATCAAAATTATTAAAATTTGCTTTTTTTTTTAAATTTTAACCTGATGCTTCTTGCAATTCCGTCGATAAATAATGAACGCCTTCTAGATGCCAATCGTTTGGCGTTTTTGTATCAGCGACAACCACCAAATTCCAGTCTTGAAATGATGCCAAACGCTGAAATTCACAAGCTAAATCGCCAGAATTCCGAATTTGTCAACTTTCACATCATCGGTGGGGCTACTTATACTGGTTACAACAATCCATTTCCCGCCATTTTTGATCTCCGAAACATTTTTTATTTCGGCGCGATTGACGGCGTTTTTAACAAATTGAGCTCTTAATTGTTTTTTTGTTCTTAAAATGGTTTAATTCATAAAAGCGAAACTCACAATCGTTGCCGACTTGATAGCGGCGTATAATCAACGGGTTGAATGAAAACGAAGTATGATAGGAATAAAATGAACAGCAATATCAATAATATTGGTGGAAAACCTGTCGACATTCCTATAATTGAGACAAAATTGACAAAAATGGGGGCAGTGGCGAGTTGCCAAGAAGAAATTCTCAAAAATTTACCCCCCCCCCGATACGCTAATGCAGAAAATTTTTTTTCCTGTTTTAAGCATTTCAATTGGTTTCCCAAAAAGAAAAAAACCAAAATAGTCTCGGATCATTTTTCGAGATCGTCTCGAGACTCCCGAGATTCAGAGAAATTTGTTTTCTTGATCTCACAAGGGAGGTCATTTTGCTGTCCGTCTTAAAATTTTTTTATTTTTTGCATACAGATTCTTTAGAAAATTTCCAATCGAATGAACTAGGTCTCTACCTGCGCAAACTTCTAGTTATCGAGATATGGACCTTCAAAGTTTTAGCCCCACCCACGTGAATTTTGCACACAAATGTGCGGAAACTCGAAATGAAATAACGTGATGTCTTATCTCGCGCTTATATCCTGTTTCGGCAAGCAGTTGTGGTTCCACAGGCAAAACGCTACGGATGAAGTCCGGGCGAAGTCCGGATATTTGAACGTCACGGCTAAAAAACGGGCCAAGTACGGACCAAAATTTTCTTTGAAAAACGCCGCGGTAAAAAAACGGACAAAGTCCGGAGATTTATAGGCCACGTTTTTAAAACGTGTTAATTACGGATCTTGATTTTCAGGATAAAACGCCACGGCTAAAAAACGGGCCAAGTACGGACGAAATATTTCTTTGAAAGGCATCACGGACAAAATACGGACAAAGTCCGGAGATTTATTGGCCACGTTTTTAAAACGTGTTAATTACGGATCTTGATTTTCAGTATGAAACGCCACGGCTAAAAAACGGATTAAGTACGGACGAAATATTTCTTTGAAAGGCATCACAGACAAAAAACGGACCAATTACGTGACAATTTTTTTCGAGTGAAAATGTCACCGACAAACAAAGGACTATTTACTGATCGACACTTCCTGGCTGAAACGTTACGACACAAAAGTTAATTAATATTTAATATAACGGCTTCACTGGAAGCTGTGGCGACCGATGGCTGATAATTAAATTTTCTTGTTGCAGGTTGCCCGATACCGATGCGGTGACCATAGCACGGCTCGAGACTTCCTTTCCTAAGATCGATGTGTCTAAGTTCGCTGCTGTCGATTCACCGTTATGCGTTCTAACTGTTCCGCTCCATATTTATATTCGTTGTTTTGTAATGTAGAGATAATGTGGAAATGGGAGAGTGGGCGAGACGATGAGGCGGTGGGCGAGAGAGAGAGTGCGAAATGAAGAGACGCACGCCATCATGCCATCGGGCAATGTCCAGCAAAAAGAGGGCCGCGGCCGAAGTTCACCTTTATTTAAATGCAAGTCCCCAATCGTAAACACCGATTTAGTCAATTACTTATGCTTTTAGTCGTATTATTTCAGTTTATTAAGTTGTTTCCCCAAGCCCACCATCCACCATATTTAGTATCATCAAGTTTGTTATTAGTTTGTATCGCTTTGTTAACATTTTGTTCGTTTTCGTTCAATAATGAAGGTTTAATTACCCAAGTTTGAGGTTTACTCGACTTGTTTAACGGTTCCAATACCGTATCATTATTTGGAAAAGTTACTGTTTTATTCCATTGTAGTTGAAAAATGAATAGTGTTCCTTTGAAATTGTTTTTTCAGATTGTAAATGGGTCATTAGGTCATTTAAATAAATACAAAAATTTCCCAATTTTCGTTCAAGTTTTGATAAAGACTACGATTTCAGTCATGGGACGGTCATATCGAAGATTTCTACCATCTTTACCAACAAAAAGTATGTTAAAATTGCATAACTATTTGCTATACTCTCTTTTACTACAATAGGATCAAGAGAAGTATCTTCTTCAAGTGAAGAAAACTTATCTGAACCGATTGATGTTCAACTTTCTGAGTCGCTCAATATAGACATCGATGAAGAGGAAGAAATGTTTCAATGGGATGTGAATTGTGACGAAGTTGAGGAAAACGATGTTGAGGAAAACGATGAGAAATCTTCAGAAGATTGTCCACACAGCGGTAGGTAATTTGTCTTAAAACTAATCGCCATTTTCGAATAGACTTGGCGCAGTATTTAGCGAATGTGTCGGACGAAGTTTTGACATTCGTAACTTCAGCGTGCATAGCTCGAAGTACCGATGCGGGTAAATAGGAAAAAATTACGAAGAAGTAAAGAGGCAATTACAGATTTCAAGAGATTCCTTTCTTCTCATAAAGATTTAACATTCCGTCGGCAAAGCTTCCAGCTATGGAAGAACAATATGACTATTTATAACGCGCACTATGTGTGCAATAGTTGTGGGAAAGAAACAAATAATATGTTCGCAAAATGGTATAGACGTTGGGCACTTTTTTATCTATTGTTTGGGTTTTCAGTTGTGGAACTATAATTAAATATGTTAGAATTGGAGGAATTCAGCAACTCTCGGAGATAGTGGAGGAGTACTGGACAGATATTCATCGGATAAGAAGCGAAATAAAAAATGGGACAAACAAGCATCACAATCTGAATGGAGAGTATGTTTCAAAAGTGTCCCAGATGGATACGGACACGGAACTTCATTTTTCAATTATTGGTAGTATTGACGGTGTGTCATTGACTGGCAATACGAACAATTTTAAAAGTTGTCATTATAAATGAACAATTTAGGAAAAAGCTGTGGCCGGTAACATTCATGCTTATCGACATACCAACAGGCGAGATGCAAAAGGCTCACAATTTGGTACTCCATGGAATTGCTGTTGGAGATATGAATCCGTCGACACATTTCTGGAACACCCTATTACCATATATCTACGCTGATGTAGAAGGAAAAACCCGTGTTTTATTCGGAAAACAGTTCGATTTCAGTATTATTTCGTGGAGCGGTGACCAGCCCGTGAGTAAATTCTTAGTTTATAAGATCCACAAAACTTAATAATACATTTAACTCTACCAATATACCATGGACACATAACCGTTTCAGGCAAAGCGAGCCTTATTTGGAATGCGCGCGTGCAATTCCGAAGGAACTTGTTTCTTCGGCTCATGTGCAGGAACCAGATACAAAACCGTGTCTATGGGGTACACCGCTCGGAATGAAAAAGAAACCGAAGAGAATGCAAGAAACGCAAGAAACGGGTCTGGCAATGTTATGCCCAAAATTTTGGATTATTGTTATCCATTTCACACCATCGTGGACTTGCTGCACAACGGCAGCGAGGGCGTATTTCAAACAATAATCTCTGGTAATTCATTTCGAATCGAATACGAATTGAACGCGTATTACAAACGTATACGGAAAATTTCGAATCGTATACGATTGACAGTAAAACCGAAACGAATACGATAGAATTACAATCGTATACGTTCGAAAAAACACTGGTAACTCGATTCGAATCGAATACGAATTGAACGCGTATTACAAACGTATACGCAAAATTTCGAATCGAATACGAATTGGCAGTAAAACCGAAACGAATACGAATTACAATCGAACGCAAATTAATTAACCGAATTCGGCGACATGTTTATCCTAAATTTTCTATTTAAAAAATATTTTGTCGGTTTCAAAAAGTTAACGATATCGTATGATATCCGAGCTGACGAGCTGAGTATATTTAATACTAATGAATGCCCAGTAGTGTTGCTTACTCCTTGTTGCCGCGAGACACCGAAATGCAGCTATTTACAAGATTTTTTCGCGTTCGGGCGCGTGCGGTTCGCGTGCGCGCACGTTTATATTTATCAATTTTCCACAGTATGATTCCCGTTTACATCAACTGTATATTTCAGTTGTGTTTGGATGTTCAACGAGCAAACTTTTTGATGGATATCAATGCAGAGATATCAAAGCGGGTGTAAAGCTGCCGTCAAAGTTTAAACAATTAAGTGGGAAAATTTCGAACATTACAGGAACGGAAAAAATGATAGTAAGTATGAAAAATAATAGATTCAAAAAGTTTTGCAGATTTATGAAACGTTGATTACTGCGACAGCCTTTTCAAGGGAATGCCCACCGTTAGCTTCGGCGGTCATATTATGTTTTCATGCTCTATTCCAGCTTTTGGTGTCTCCCCTGTCCATTACCGAGAAAAATCTCAATACCAAGGTTCGGATGTGCACTTTACAGTTTATTAAAAGTTAAACTCAGATTGAAGACATTGCATATTGTCTTCAAATTCTTATCGTGAAGTACGACGAGTCATTTCTAAAAGGATCAAAGGTTCATGTCAGTTATATCATATATTCCTGCTCGTTTACCTATATAATTCCAGCAAATTCTATATCATTTGGCTGATAATGTATATAGCTATGGAAGCATTATCGCACTCAGTACGCAAAGTAGCGAACATCTCTACCATTTGATGAAACGATCTGTCGCTTCGGAAATCACAAAAGGATTGGGATGCTCGCTCCTAAATAGGTAATTTCAGTATATCGATCAATTTATTTTACGCGGTGATCAATTTACTTTACGCCAAGTAGTAATCAATTTCCAATAGGTGGAGTTACAAAATTGTGGTGATGTATTTTTAGAACATCCATGGCGCAAATCGTATATTCCGAAGTTGTCAGAAGGCAAAGAAATGATGCTCAGAGTTTGATAAGTGATTATTATGGCATGAAACTTCTTCGTAAATTCAATCTCGATGTGGATTCTACTTGGCTTCCAAAGCCTCAACGTCAGTGCACAACTGCACGTGATAAGGTCATAAAGGATATTTGGCATAATGGCACAAGATATCGCATTAGCAATGAATCGACATATGATGATTCTAACATAATGTTCATTTATAAAAACACCGTTCAGTTCGGTCGCATTGCATCTATTTTTAATGACCAATCACTTGAAACTAAAATTTTAGTATCCCCTTATACACTTGTTAAAGCGACATTCGAAAATCTAGCTAACAAATTGATCAATGTAATTGATATTTTAACCATCAAGAAATTCAAAACGAATACGGCTGCATTCAAAACGAATACGGCTGCATTCGAAACGTATTC